ACCGGAAGAGAAGAGGAGCACTGGGCTGAAACTGGCCATCCAAAACCCAACATTCCATGTGGACGAAGTTACCTCCCAGACCAAAGGTGCGCACACAGAAAGCAAGATCTTGCTCTTTTTTGTAGTGCCGAGACTAGCTCATCAACTGCACTCGAGAGACGGAGTCTATGGGCTCGCTTTCCTTTTCTTCATCGAAGTCTGCCGTGGCCCTTTGGAGCATCATGCTGAAAAAGATTGTGAATAGAGTTGGTTCAAGAACGCAGCCTTGATTCACACCACTGGTTATGGGAAAGGGCTCAGAAAGTGCATCGCCGTATCTGACTTGGTCGTGCTGGTCCTCATGAAGCGAGATGAACATTTTGAGGAACTTGGGGGGACATCCTAAACGTTCCAAAATCTACCACAGACCTTTTCTGCTCACAGTGTCAAAAGCCTTGGTGAGATCAACAAAGGTAACATAGAGTCCTTTGTTCTGTTCCTGACACTTCTCTTGCAGTTGTCTGAGAACAAATGCCATGTCTGTGGTGCTCCTATTGGTTCTGAAACCACACTAGCTTTCAGGTAGAAGTTCTTCTGCTATAGAGGGTATTAATCTGTTCAAAAGAATTCTTGCAAGGATTTTACCAGCAATGGAGAGCAGAGTAACACCCTGGTGATTCGAACAATCTGATGTATCTCCTTTCTTCTTGTACAAGGTGATGATGACAGCGTCATGAAGGTCTGATGGTAGTTCGCCTCGTTCCCAACAGCCCACCACGAACTCGTGAAACTTAGAATGGAGTGCTTGGCCTCCATGCTTCCAGACTTAAGGTGGGATTCCATCGACCCCAGCTGCCTTGCCAGTTTTCACCTGCTGTATGGCCTTAGGAGTTTCTCCCATAGTGGGGGCAATATCCAGTTCAGTTTTCACTGGTTGTTGTTAAATGTACATTGCTGAGTCTTGAACTACACAACTGGTACTGAAGAGAAAAAGTGTCAAGACCATCGATTGAACCTGGTGTGTAGGACCGTAGGCTGTTTTCAGAGCCTCATAGAATCCCCTGTAGTCACTCGTATCTGCACATAATTGAACTTTTTCTGCCAGATTGATCACCATTGTTCTGGATGTCATGAAGTTTCTGTTGGAGCTTGCTGCATGCGAGTCGAAAGGCTGCTTTTCTTACATGACAAGATGGCTGAGCAAGGTGGGCTTGGTGAGTAGTTCTCTTCTTTATCAACAATTCCTGGATCTCTTGATTGTTATCATCAAACCAGTCCTTGTTTTTCTTGAAGGAAAACCCTAAGGATTCTTCAGAGGACTGCAGAATGCTACTTTTATTAAGTTGACAAAGCACTTCAGGAGAGGGATCTGTGGAATGATCTTCAAGCCTGGATTGAAGATTTGCCTGGAAACTGTCTCTCACTGTAGCTGTTTAAGGTTACTAACTTGAAGTCTCCTCCTTGGAATACCTCCCCTTTTAGGTTTGAGCTTAGAGAGGAGGTTAAGTTTACAGTGCACAAGGCGATGATCCGTTTGACATTCTGCACTAGGCATCACACGGGTGTGACGAACATCGCGGATATCTCTCTGTCGGACCAAGATATAATCAATGAGGTGCCAGTGTTTGGACCTAGGATGCATCAAGGTTGTCTTCGAACTATCTTTCTGCTGGAAGACAGTGTTGGTGATGGTGGGCTGCTGCTCCGCACAAAACTCTAGCAGAAGGTGACCATTATCGTTGCAGTTTCCAACACCACGCCTGCCTAATACTCCTTTCCAGGCTTCGGAGTTCTTTCCTACTCTGGCATTGAAATCACCAAGGATAATGATCTTATCATCTGCAGGAACCTTTTGGATAAGGCAGCACAGGTCAGTGTAGAATTTATCTTTTTCGGCAGGGTCAGCTTGGAGGGTTGGGGCATTTATACTAAAGAGAACAATATATTGCTTTTTGTGCAGTGGGAGGTGTAAGGAGATAAGGTGATCAGAATGACCTGATGGCAAATTTTCGAGGTTAGAGACAGTAGAGTTTTTGATCATGAAGCCAACTCCTGAGAGATGCCTTTCAGTTCTGGGTTTACCTGACCCAGAGTATACATAGAGTGTATAACCAGCACCATGTTCTCTAATGCTGCCTTCCTCATGGAGACGAACTTCACTGAGAGCAGCAATGTCAATGTTGAGTCGCGCAAGTTTATGGGCAATTAGAGCGGAGCGATGCTCAGGACATCCACTATCCGCAGTACCAAGCATGGTTCTGATGTTCCAGCATGCGAGTGTTAATTTGAACACACCTTTGAAGGCAGGTGTGTGCCTTTGACTCTTAATCTTTATTTGACTGCATCAGAAGATGCCTGTTGGCCGTGGTTAACCAACCGGGTGAAGGGTGGAGATGAGCTTTGGTTAGGCCACCTTTTCTAGGCCCCTCTCTGTGTGGAGCAAGCAGTGCTCTCCTTGAAAAAGGCTGCTTGGTCATTCAGGATGCTGCCGAATGAGTCTGTCATCTCCAGGGTCAGACTCAGGCGATCAATGTCCTGAACCGCCTGCATGCAGGGTTGGGTCTGCGGCTTCCAGTGCACCTTTATCAGCTGCCGTTTTGTCCCTCGCCTGTCGCTGCAGGGCTTTACAAGTGTGGATATAACCTTCAAGCCTGCGCAGTGGATTTTTTAGGTGGGGCTCAGCTTGCACAGAACTGGTCCCACCCTTTACTCCTGAGGTTCATCTGCCAGGACCAGGCAAGTTTGGGTAGTGACAGCGAGGTCCTCAGGATGTAGGTTTGAATTGGAGTATCCTTCCCTTGGATGGATGGCCTTACAGGGCTAAGCGAGCTCCGTCTGCCCAGGTTTGAAATCAGAGCTGTCCTTCTCCTAGGATGACTGCTGGAAGGCTGGTGAGCCCATCCTGGCCATGGACACATTTGATCTGACCCTTCAGTTGTGGGTCTGTCTGGCATGGGAAACCCTGCCAGAGGTTTATACCACCACCAGCACAGCTCGCAACCTCAGAGGGGCACATAAGCTTCTCACCCACTAAAATGATTAGGGCAAGCCTTTCACTCCCTATTTTGCCCTCCCAGCCTCCTGCACTCAAACCCAGGGACATTCCCTTGCCCTAAACACCCTTCCAGGATACTGTAGTTCTGAAACAAACCATTCCTGGGCAGTAGCCACAGGCGAGCCAAAACAAACGGTTCCTGGACAGAAGCCATGGGTGAGCCAAGCTCAGCACATTCCAACCTCACTGCAACAATGCCAGAACAGAATTGATCCCAAACACACCCCCAGGCAGGGCAGGCACACAGATAAGGTGACCCCACACCCACTCGAGGCCCAGGTATCAAGCCAGCCTGAAACCCCCAACCCTTGAGTTAAAAAAAAAAGCTACTGCTTTCCAAAAAATGCTTCCCACTAATATATTTAGCTGACCCATCAGTAAACCACGCATCTTCCTTTCTTCTTCTGTTAGTTGCTCTAGGGGTTTTCCCCATTTCACCGGTGATTCGTGCTCACTATCTAAGTGATCTGCATTTGTTGTTTGATTCACGGGGGCATTGCAACTTTCTCATGAAGTGTTGTTACTCCCCAACCTCTACTTTAGCTCTGTCTTGAATATATCATTTCCCTGTAATTATCACAGAATCATAGAATTAACTGGTTGGAAGAGACCTCCGAGATCATCAAGTCCAACCCTTGATCCAACCACACTGTGATTACCAGATGATGGCACTCAGTGCCACATCCAGCCTTGTCCTAATCACCTCCAGGGACGGTGAATCCACCACCTCTCTGGGCAGGCCATTCCAGTGTCTGATCACTCTCTCTGTAAAGAACCTCTTTCTAATATCCAACCTAAACCTCCCCTGACACAGCTTAAGCCCCTGCCCTCTTGTCCTGCTGCTGATTGCCTGGGAGAAGAGACCGACCCCCACCAGGTTACAACCTCCTCTCAGGGAGTTGTAGAGAGTGATGAGGTCACCCCTGAGCCTCCTCTTCTCCAGACTAAACAACCCCAGCTCCCTCAACCTCTCCTCATAGGACTTGTGCTCAAGTCCCTTCACCAGCCTGGTTGCTCTTCTCTGGACCCGCTCCAGCACCTCAATGTCTTTCCTGAACTGAGGGGCCCAGAACTGAACACAATACTCAAGGTGTGGCCTTACCAGTGCTGAGTACAGGGGTATGCTGGCTTCCTAAGCATGTCCTATCTTGGGTGAACTTTTTACCCACTGCATTATCGGAATTTCAGGCCTTAGTGCCATGTCATGCCCTATTGTCATTTGTTCTGTTTTCACTAAAGCCCAGTAACATTCCAATAGTTGCTTCTCAAATTAGGTATATCTTTGTCCGGCTTCAGGTAATTTCCTATTCCCAAATCCTAAAGGCACTTTCTTCCTACCCTGCTTCTGCCAGAGGCTCCAATTGGCATAATTATCATTTACAGAAACATTTGATTCCACCTCTCTGGCTTGTATTGGCCAGAGGTCCAGAGCCTGTTGAATTATGTATTCAGTTGTTCCAAACACTTGCTCTTGTTCATTTTCCCACTCAAACTCATATTTCTTTCATGTTACTTTATATAATGGGGCAAATATTTGTCCCAAATGAGGACCATGTTGTCACCAAAAGCTGAATAAACCAATAAAGCACCAAGCTTCCATCTTGCTCTGAGGTGTGACAAAATCTACAATCTTTTGTGTAGCCCTCGGCAATACTTGTCGATGACCACAGAATTCCAAAAATTTTGTGGTTCTTGAATGTTGTTTGGATTAACATCCCACACCTTACTTTTCATACGCTGCAATACTAATTCTAATTGCTCTTGTACTTCCTGCTCAGTTTCTCCCTGAATCATTATATCATCCATATAATGTATGATATACAGTATATGTTATATACATATATCCTATCTGTATCTCTATATATACATCTATACATTATGGATGATATACCTATATTTGTACTGTGTCTGGCAACAAGGGTTTGTGCAGGTGTTCTGCCACGGTTCGATTGCAGAGGGTGGGACTATGGAGCCACCCTTGAGGTAAGTGGGTAAACATGTACTGCCTGCCTTGCCAGGTAAAAGCAAACTGATCCCAGTGTTTCTCAGCAATGGGTATTGTAAAGAAGGAATTAGCTAAATCAATTATGGCATATCAAGTTCCAGGGTGTCGTATTTAAATTAAAGTGACAGTGTATGGTACCGCAGCTGTCAGTGGTGGGGTATATTTGTTAAGCTCCCTATAGTCTATTGTCATTCTCCACATTCCATCACTCTTTTTAACAGGTCAGATAGGATTATTAAAGGCAGTGGTTGTTGGTTTCAACACTTCTGTATGTATCAAATCTTGAATGATTTGTGATATTTCTCCATGTCCCCCTGGTATACAATATCGTCTCATGTCATTCCTTTAGTGGCAGGTGGAATTTGTAGCAGAGGTATTTTAGCTTTCCTAATGTATGTCCTGGTTCCAAACTGATACTTACCATCCAGTAAATGTAAAGTCAGCCCTTCTGAAATATCAGTTCCAATTATATATCCAGGGACAGGAACAATCAACACTGAGTAAGTTTGCTCTGGCAGATTGCCTCTTTTCATCTCAATTTTTATCTGTATGGCTTCAATTTGTTTGCTACCTAATCCTGTAATCAAAACTTCTTGTCCTTTCAACTTTTCAGGATTACCATAAATTAAAGAGGCCTGAGCTCCAGTATCAACAAGGGTATTAAATGTTTGAAATTGGAAGCTCCACATGAGGACAGTGGTCTTTTCTCACCCATCCTTGAGCTGAAGCTTGGCCTTCATCTCATTCTGGTTGTAATTCTTTCAATTGTTGCACCATTTTAACATCTGGTCAGGGATAGAGATCTGCACATGATCCCATCCCGTTTTGTCCCCTGGAACAGTTGACTCACCAATGGGAGGGCCCTCCACTGGCAAGTGTCCTGTCCCGTTGAGGTTCATGGAGGGGAGCAGAAGGTCGAATTGCTCCATCCATCATGTCATCTTTTGGGCCTGAACTTGAACTCTTTACTTTTATAACAGGTTTGTTCAAACCCCACTGCTTGTTTTATCTCCACATCTCATTACTGGGGAGCCCATCAGTCTTATCTTGGGCCATCCCATCTATCAGCAAGGCAGCAAACATATCCTTTCAAGAGACTCGATTCTCTTTCACCTCACCATTCCTGTTATCACCTCCCCTGCTTTGTTTGTGTCCCCATTCCCCCAGTCTCCTAACTGCTGGATTTTTTTCTCTGACTTCTCCTGCGGGGTTTCCTATTTCATTTATCAGTAAAGTCATAAAAACACACCTATATGCACGTGGAGCTGTCTTAGTAATCCTCTTTTGAACTGGAGCTGATAATGCATTTTGCAGCATAGTGTCTGTACCACCAGTAAAAAAAACATCTTCATTCCTTCTGCCTTAATATGCTGAACACAATCCCATAGAGTGTCCCAGGGCCCATCTGCACTGGGCTACCCCCTTCCACGGGATATTTTCTATAACAACCTTCCATCACTGCAGCCAACAAATTAGCCTCTCCAGCTGAGCCTCAGAAGGCATCCTGAACAAATGAATCAGAACTTAACACTGCAAACTTCTTGCTGTCATCCAAGTATAATTTAATCCCAGAGGTTCCAAGATCATGCAGCCTGACTACCCAGGAGATGAAAGACTCTCCAGGCTTCTGTTTAAATCTATCCATGATATCACTGATTTCATACTGAGTAAAATCTTCCACGACATCATGCCTAACTGAATAACCAGTAGGGTCACCTTCCAATTTCTTTTGTATTATTGGCTTTGCTTCAGCAAACGCTTGACCTCTGAACTACTATCAAAATTCGTTGAATTCCAGATATCTCCATCCCATTTTTCAGGATCCCAGTCTATCCCTGCCTCTGCCAACAGAGCATGCACTATTTTTCTATTTACTCAATCCCTTTGCTTTCAATATTTATATTGGGCTACCCCAAGAGCCACTCTTTCTGCTACTGTTTGATAAGTGTCCAACTTGTCCATTAATAGTTGCAACATTTGGCATTGCAACATAACTATTTCCCCCTGCAATTCACACACTCACTTCCCCAAATTAATCTCATCCTTACACATTTGTTCTCTCTGTTGTTGCTGTTTTCAATATGCAGCATGCAAAACCCACCCTGGTCTCCCTAGAGCAATCACTTCCTTTCCTTTCTCTACTGAAACCTTCTGTAAACATTTCATCACATCAAAGGGTTCTGCCTCTTTCAAATAGGAGTCCCAGTTCTCACAGAAACCATAACACAACCGCTCAGGGGCCAAAATACAATAAGGTAATTGTTCCCAGCCAGGAATATCCAGTTCTACATTTGTCTTAGCAACATTTTTCTTTACATTAAAAACATATTTGTTTTGTACCCTGCGCTGTGATGCCACATTTGTTTTGCTGAGGGGTTGAGTGCTCAGCAAAATGACTATACACTAGTCATTGTATAATATGAACAGTTGCCTAAATAAACACAATAAAATGAATGCAATATATATACATATAATAAATATAATGGCCAGTCTTCGCGAGCGAAGATCCGGGGAAGGTCTTTACACCTTCCAGCCTGCGCATTGGATTTTTTAGGTGAGACACAGTGTGCGCGGAACTGAGCCCACCCTTTAATCCTAAGGTTCATCTGCCGGGGCCAAGCGAGCTTGGACGGTGGCAGCGAGGTCCTCAGGACGTAGGTGGGTTGCCTTTAAGGGCTAACGAGCCCCACCTGCCCGGGAGTGGCCCTGACCGGGAATCGAACCCGGGTCTCCGCGGTGATAGCGCGGCACCTTTACCACTAGACCAGCAGGGGCTCCTAATATATATACAGTACAAAAGAAAATTAGTGATGCATCAAATCATTAATGCCTAGAGGGAGAGAGAACAGTGACTAAGAAGCAATACCCCACTAATTACCACCTAATGCTCAACATCCAGGACCACAATTCCTCTGAGAAGCCCCATTACAGCTGATGCCCAGAGTCTCAGGTAATTGGGAGAATTCCTGGGTTGTTGGCCAGGCTCTCTGGCATGGCCATATGTGGAGTCATGAAACAGGTGCACATTTGTGTTTCCTACCTTTTTCCAACATACAGTCATAACAACTCTATACTTTATCAAATACTATTTATCAAAGATGTCCTTTATCATCTTTCTCAGTCACGAGTGGGCATCAATTCTCAGTTAAGTTCTCATCCACTGCATCCAAGTGGCACTTGGAATGTGGGAAGAGCTTCAGCAACAGCTCCATCCTCATCACCCAGCAACGCCTGCACACCAGGGAGAAGCTGTACAAGTGTCCTGAGTGAGGGCTACACAGGGGAGAGGCCCTTCTGCTGCCCCAGCTGCAGGAAGAGCTTCAATTGCAGCTCCTGTCTCATCCCCCACTGGCACATTCACACTGGGGAGAGGCCCTACAAGTGTCCTCAGTATGGGAAGAGCTTCGTCGTGAGCTCTGCCTTAACCAAACACCAGTGGACGCAGCAGTAAGGGAAGCCCCACGAAGCCCAAACTGCAGAAAGAGCTTTTTCCTCTGCTCCAACTTCATCACCCAGTGGAGGTCACACCTGGTGACCCATGGTGCCAGTGTTCCACGTTGGGAAGATGACAAGATGATGGTCTCCACATCCTGCTCGTTCCCCATAGGCACCTGTCTGAATGCAGAGGGAGGAACATCCATTGGGATGCAGACTGTGTGTGCCCTGCAGCAAAAGAGCCTTTGCTGTGAAAGGATCTGTTAACACATTTCAATATTTTAGCTTAGCTAGCCTGAGAAATTCACCTGATAAAATAATAATAAATATTAAAATAATATAAATAAAATAAATAATAATAAATAATAATAAATATAATAAATAATAAATAAGTATAATAATAAATATAAACAAAATAAATCTTTTTGCTTGCCTGAGAACCCTGTTACCTTTAGATAAGAAATACAATTTTGTAAGTAGAAATTATGTGGGTAACATTTATGTATCAGTTAAAAGGAGTAACCAGTCAGAAACCACCCCCCAAGGCTGTGACTCTACCCACCCAAAAAACAAAGAACAAGTTTCGAGGTTTGGAAACGCGACAATAGACCTTGAGCGTGGGTCAAGTGAGGAACACCGTGAAAAACGACCACCAAACAGCCAGCAGAGTGACTGTATTTCTTGCAAAAGTATTGCAGATGGCAGCAAAACACCATAAATTGTGACACTGATCAATGGGTGTGTTTGGGTAAAATATTTCTGAGACAAGATGAATATAAAGGTTTGTAATCAACTCGTTGTCAGAGCACTTATGGGAGGATTTATCCCCAGTGCGACCCTGTGCTGGCAGGAGAGAACTGGCACTTTTAACACTGATCAAATCCCAGCGTTAATTCTTGTTTATTCTTCACCAGTAACCCCCAGTGCTCACCAGTAACTCCCAGTGACACTCCCAGTAAAACCCCAGTAACCCCAGCGCCTCTCCTTGGTCCTCAGTGACTCCACCAGTAGCTCCCAGTGATCCCCCACTGCAGTAATCCCAGTGCCTCCCAGTACCTTTCCCAGTAACTTCCAGCAGCCCCCAATTGCCTCCCAGCAACTCTCAGGGCCCCCAGTTGCCTCCCAGTGCTCCCAGTAACTTTCCCCACTCCTCCCCAGTCCCCCCTCAGAGCCCTCCAGTCCCTCCCAGTAACCTCCAAGGCCTCTCAGTTACCTTTACCAGTAGCAACCAGTGTCCCCAGTTGCCCCCAAGCATCTCCTAGTAACTCTCCACTGCCCACCAGTAACCTCCAGTGTCTCCCAGTTGCCCCCAGTAGCTACCAGTTACTCCCCAGCACCTTCCAGTGCTTCCCAGTTGCCTTCAGCACCCACCAGTTGACTTCTGGTGCTTCCCAGTACCTCTCCCAGTAACCTCCAGTTGACTCCCAGTACCACTCCAAGGAACTCCCACGTCCCCCCACTTGCCTCCCAGTGCCCCCCAGTACGTCCTAGTTGCCACCTAGTTTCTCCCAATCCACCCTGGTGGCCCCCAAGTCCCTCCCAATGGTCCCAGTAACCTCCAGTCCGTCCCAGTCCCTTCCCCAGTACCTGCCTCAGTAACTCCCAGCACCTCCCAGTTGCCTCCCAGTTCCTCCTTAAAGCCCCCCTGTCCCTCCCAGTGTTCCCACTAACCTCCAGTCCCTCCCCCATACCATTCCCAGTGACTCCCCAGCACCCACCAGTTGCCATCCAGTGTCTCCCAGTCCCACTTCAGAGCCCCCAGTCCCTCTCAGTGCTCCCAGTCCCTCCCAGCACCTTTCCAGTACCGCTCCCAGTAACTCCCAACACCCACCAGGTGCCTCCCAGTGCTCCCTGTTGACTTCCAGTGTCTTCCCCTGCTCTCCCCCCAGTCCCCTCTCAGAGCCCCACAGTCCCACCCAAGGCTCCCAGTAACCTCCAGTTCCTTCCAGTACCTCCCCCCAGTAATTCCCAGCAGCACCCAGTGCTTCCCAATGACTTCCAGTTGCCTCCCAGTGATTCCCCAGCACCCACCAGTTGCCTCCCAGTCCCCCCTCAGAGCCCCCCAGTCCCTGCCACTGCTTCCAGTAACCTCCATCCCTCCCCAGTACCACTCCCAATAACACCCAGCTCCCTGCAGTTAACTCCCAGTGCTCCCAGCATCTCTCAGTTACTCTCCAGCACTCCCCATTTGCCTCCCATTGTCTCCCAGTCCCCCATAGAGCTCCCCAGTAACCTCCAGTCGCTCCCAATACCACTCCCAGTAACTCCCAGCTCCACCTAGTTGCCTCCCAGTGCTCCCACCTGCCTCCCCAGTCCCCCCTGAGAGCCCCCCACTCCCTCCCAGTGCTCCCAGTCCCCTCCCCCTGCTGCCTGGGAGCCCCTCCAGTCCCTCCCAGTGCTCCCAGTACAAGGCCCCCTCTGTCCCCAGTGGCCCCAGGCCAGGGCCCAACAGCGGCCCCTTTGTATTGGGAGGGGGCATGGCCAGCGCTGGCTGGGCGGGGCCAGACGTGGAGTGGGCGTGTCCACCACCCATAGGCCCCGCCCGCCACCGTGAGCGCCGCAGCCGAGCCCGGGGGGCGGGTGGGGACCCCAGTTTGGGGGGCTTTATTGCGGGAGGGGGCGGAGAGGGCCAGGTGAAGGGGGAGGAGGGCGGAGAGAGGGGTCAGTCTGGGAGGGGCAGGTTTGGGGGATTTAGGGAGGAAGATTTGGGGAGAGGGTTACAGGGGAGATTTAGGGGTCTTTTGGGCGGGGTCGGATCGGGGGAGGTTTTGGGGGCAGATTTAGTGGGCTTTTGGGGGAAGTTTTAGGGTGGCCTTTTGGGGGGTCACTTCGAGGTGGAAGTTTCGAGGGGCAGATTTAAGGGGGGTCTCTTGGGGGGGTCCCTTCGGGGACGGGAAGTTTCGGGGGCATTGGGGGGGAAGATTTAGGGTTTTTGCGGGGAGCCAGTTCGGGGAGGGAGTTTCGGAGCACAGTTGTAGAGGGTCTTTTGAGGGGACAGTTTTAGAGGCAATTTTAGGGGGCTTTTTGGGGGGAACAGATCCGGGGAATCATTTTGGGGGCATCTTTTGGGAAGGCCATTTGGAGGGGCTCCATGAGGGCAGGGGGCCGCGTTGGTGCTGCTGGTGCTGCTGGGGGTGAGGAGGGGCTTTGGGGGTCCCGATGTGGGGGTGGGTTTGGGACACCCCTCCGGGGGGGCGGCGGCTGCCCGGGGGGCTGCGAGTGCGACCGGGAGAGCGCCCTGTGCCGGGGGGTCAGGGGGTCCCCGGGGCTCCCCCGCCTGGCAACGCTGTGAGTGACCCCCCTCCAATTTGGGGACCCCCTTTATCCCCTCTTCCCTTTGGGACCACCCCTATTGTGGTTCCCCTCTTGAGTCCCCCCCACGACCCCCCTTTGGGGGCACCCCCAGAACCTTCCTGTGACCCCTCCTTGCGGATTCCCCAGAAACTCCCCGGAGACCCCTCCCCCGTTGGGCACCCCTTTCCCCTTTTAGGGCTCCCCCAAAAACCACCCCTGGGATCCCCTAAAACCACCTCCCCCCATGGGAAACCCCCTTCTGGGACCCCCCCTTTGACCTCCCGCTTTTGGGGTACCCCCTGAACCCCCCACCCCAGGGACCCTCAGTGGGGACTCCCCGGGACACCCAATGATCCCCGAGGCCCCGCCTCTCTTATGACATCATCACTCGAAGCCCCGCCCCCGCATGGGATGGGCGGGGCTGGGCCCAGTTTGTGACTGGTTTAGACCAGTTCAGGGCTGGCTGGGCTCGGTATGGCCTGGTCAGATACTGGTTTGGCCCAGTTTAGCTCCAGTTTAGGACTGACTTGGACCAGTTTAGCACAGTTTGGTCCCCGTTTCTCCCAGTTTAACCTCAGTTTGGCCCAGTTTGACTCCAGTTTGGCCCAGGTTGTTCCTGCTTTCTCTCAGTTCAGCCCAGTTTGACCCCTGTTTCCCCAGTTTAGCCCAGTTTGGTCCTCCCCGTCCTCCCCAATGCTCTCTCAGTCCCTCCCAGTTCACCCAGTTCCCCCAGGTCACTGGTTCGGTGGCACATCGAGGTCCTGGCCGAGGGCAGCTTCCGCCACACCCCGAGCCTGCAGCTGCTGTGAGTGACACCAATGTCCCCAAAGTGTCCCCACGTGGCCCCGAATGTCACCTGTGTGTCCCCAATACGTCCCCAAAGTGTCTCCAAATGTCCCCAAATAGCCCCAAATGCCACCTCTGTGTCTCTGAAGTGTGTCCCCAGAGCGTCCCCAAAATGTCCTGAAAGTGTCACTAATGGCCCCAAAGTATCACCAAATGTCCCCAAATGTCACCTCAATGCCCCCAGATATCCCCAGGACATCCCCAAAAGCCCCTCAGTGTCCTCAGTGTGTCCCCAGAGGGTCTCCAAATGTCCCCAAATGTCCCTAAGGTGTTCCCAGGAGTTCCCTAATGGTCCCAAAGTGTCCCCAAAGTGATCCCAAAATGTCCTCAAATGTCCCCAAGGTGTTCCCAAGAGTCCTGAAATGGCCCCAAATGTCACCTCAGTGGCCCTAAATGGTCCCAGAGTGTCCTCAGAATGTCCCTGGGGTGTCCCCACAGGTTGGTCACCGCCGGGAGCTTGGGGACCATCGGGGACGGGGCCTTTGCTGGACTGGTGTTACTGGAGTACCTGTGAGAGGGACTGGGAGGGACTGAGGGGACTGGGAGGGGATTGGGAGGGCACTGGGAATGGACTGGAAGGGACTGGCGTGGAACTGGGGGGACACTGAGGAGGGACTGGGCTGGACTGGGAGGAACTGGAGAGACATTGAGGAGGGACTGGGGTGGATTGAGATAAACTGGGAGGAACTGGGGAGACACTGAGGAGGGACTGGGGTGGACTGGGATAAACTGGGCTGTGCTGAGAGGAACCGGGGGAAGTGTGGAGAGACTGGGCTGTACTGGGGGGGGGGGATACTGAGCTGAACTGGTGAGAACTGGTATGAACTGGTGCAAACTGGTATGAACTGGTGCCACAGGTTCATCGAGGACAATGAGGTCGGGGCCATCGAACCCACTGCCCTGCGAGGCCTCCGGGGGCTCCTGTTCCTGTGAGTGACACTGGGGACATTGGGGGGGATTGGGGACATTGGGGTGTCCCCAAATATCTCCAGGTGTCCCCAGGTGTCCCCATGTCCCTGGTTGTCCCTAGGTGTCTCCAAATGTCCCCAAGCGTCCTCAAGCGTCCCCAGGTGTCCCAAATATCCCCAGTTGTCCCCAGGTGTCCTCAGGTGTCCCCATGTCCCTGTCCAGAAGGCTCCCCAGGTGTTCCCAATGTCCCCACTGTCCCCAAATGTCCCCACGTCCTTGTCCCCAGGTGTCCCCATGTTCCTGTCCCTGTGTCCCTGTCCCCATGTCCCCAGGTGTTGCCAGGTGTCCCCAAATGCCCCCATTTCCCTGTCCCCAGCTGTTCCCAAGTGCCCTCAAGTGTCCCCAAGCCCTCCAAACCCCATGATGTTCCTGCAGTGTCCCCCTCAACGTCCCCAATGTCCCCACAGGAGTTTGGCCAACAACCGCCTGGAGACTCTGCCTCGGGGGCTCTTCCAGGGACTGGAGACCCTGAGCCACCTGTGGGTGACACCAGGGGACACTGGGGACAGGGAGGGAAACTGGGGCTGTGGGGGGGATTGGGGACATCGGAGACGTTTCAGGGATTGGACGATGGGGCATTGGGAACATTGGGGGATGGGGACATGGGGGGAACCTTGGGGACATTCAGGACATTGGGGGAGGTGTAGGGACTTTGGGGACATTGGGGGATGGGGACATGGGGGGAACCTTGGGGACATTCAGGACATTGGGGGAGGTGTAGGGACTTTGGGGACGTTGGGGGATGGGGACATTGGAACATTGGGGACATTCAGGAGGTTGGGGGAGGTGTAGGGACTTCGGGGACGTGGGGGCACAATGGGACACTGGGGACATTGAGGGCATGGGGACATTGGGGATGTGGAGATGGGGGGATGGGGTGTATTTGGGACATTGGGGACAAGGGGACAACAGGGGATGTGAAGCACATGGGGTGGTTTGGGGGGGATTGGGGACACTGGGGGTTTTGGGGTACATTGGGGACATCGGTGGGACATTGGGGGACTTGGAGGGATTTGAAGGATTTGGTGACATGTGGGGACATGTAGTGACATTTGGGGACATTTTGGTGACACTTTGGTGACATTTGGTGGCGCAGGGACCTGCGGGGGAACCCGTTCCGCTGTGATTGTCACCTGCGGTGGCTCCTGTCGTGGTTGGGGACAGTCCCCTCCTCCCCCGAAGCCACCGGGCGCTGCCACAGCCCCTCCCCCCACCAAGGGACCCCCCTCGCCCACCTGGATCCCAGGGACTTCCAGTGCCAGCGGGCAGGTGGGAACTGGGAGCACTGGGAGGGACTGGGAGGGGATTGGCAGGGACTGGGAGGGACTTGGGGGGACTGAACACCCTGGGCTGGGGGTACAAACACACCTGGGGACCCCAATGTCCCCGAAGTATCCCCAGAGTGCCCTTGAGGTGCCCCAAGAGCCTCCAAAGTGTCCCCAAGGTGTCCCTGGGGGTGACAGCAAAGTGTCCCCCAAAAGCCTCCACGGTGTCCCTGAGGGTGTCCCTGGGGTGTCCTCCTGTCCCTGCAGTGTCCCTGGGGTGTCCCCACATCCCTGGGGATGTCTCTGGGGTGTCCCCGTGGTGTCCCCATATCCCTGGGCGTGTCTCTGGGGGAATCCTCGTGGTGTCCCTGGGGGGTGGCATTGGGCTTGTCCTCCAGAGTGTCCCCATGTCCCCAGGCATGTCCCAGTGCTGTCCCCATGTCCCTGGGAATGGCAGGGGGGTGTCTCCAGTGTGTCCCCATGCCCCTGGCGCTGTGCCTAGGCTGTCCCCATGATGTCCCCATGCCACCCCCGCAGTGTCCCCCTGTCCCAGGAGTGCTGCCCGTTCCAGTCCCTGCCCTCCTCACCTCTGCAGACTCATTCCTTCAGCAGGGGAGGCCTTGAGATGCCCCCATGTCTCTGGGGGTGGCATTGGGCTGTCCCCATGGTGTCCCCATCATGCCCCTGTGTCCCCAGAGCTCCGGCCATTCCAATCCCTGCCCTTCTCATCCCTGGGGGCCGAGTCCTTCACGCTGGGGGGGCACCAGGGGGTGGCCCTGGCCCAGCCCTTTGCCGGTGCCTGCGCCCTCCTGGAGTGGGACCAACTGGCCGGGAGGTTCCGGGCCCCCACCATCATTAACAGTGAGTCTGGGGGGACCCCAAAACCCACCCTGGGTGGGGTGATCCCAAAAACAGCTGAGGGGGGGCCCAAAAATGGGGTGAGGGACCTCAAAAATGGAGTAAAGGACCACAAAAATGGGGTGAAGGACCTAAAAAATGGGCTGGAGGAGACCAAAACCACCACCCCAACCCAAATGTCCCCACTGCCCCCATAGAGACATCCCCACCACCTTCATGTCCCCAGTGTCCCCAATGTCCCCCATGTCCCCATAGCCTTGTGCCCACCATCCCAATGCCCCCATAGCCCTGTCACCACCACCCCAATGTCCCCCGTGTTCCCAACGTCCCCAATGTCCAAATAGAGATGTCCCCAGTGTTCCCAACGTCCCCAAAATCCCCAACATCCCCAACCCCTTACCCCCCATAACCTCAGTGTCCCCACAGGCTCCTCCCCCGTGGCCTGCCATCCCCTGCCCCTTGGAGGGTCCCTCCTGGTGGTGGTGGCCCAGCTCCGAGGCGGTTCCTGGGTCTGGCGCCGCTCTGGTGGCCCCGGGGCCACTTTTGTTCGCCACCAGAGCCTCGGGGCGGGGCGGCTGCGTCGCCCCCACGCCGTGGCCACCGCCCGCCTCGGGGGCCACCTGTACCTGGGCGTGGCCGACAGCTCCAAGGGGGGCACCAGCACCGTGTTCCGCTGGGGCGGGCGCGGCTTCTACCCCCACCAGACCCTGCGGGCGTGGCACCGCGACACCCACCTGGAGTTCCTGGAGCTGGGCGGGCGCCCGGCACTCGTGGTGTGCTCAGGGGCCAGGAGACCCCTGGTGTACCGGTGGAGCGGGGGGGTCTTCGCCCCCCACACCGACATCCCCCACGTGCCCGACGTGTACGCGGCGAAGCACTTCCGGCTGAGGGGACACGTGTTCCTGTGCCTCACGCGGTTCCTGGGGGACGCCAAGGTGGGGGGGAGGTCGGGGGAGTGGGCAGGGGTGGCCATGGAGGATATCAGGGTTGTGTGGTTAGGGGGGCCATCAGAATCATCTGTTCATGGGAGTCATCAGGGGTCCGTGGGGGTCCAGCAACATCATGAGGCCATGGGGGACACCAGCGGTCGTGTGGTTGTGGGGGATCAACGAGGTCATATGGTCTTGGGGGCCACCACCGTCATGGGGGTCATCAGGGTCATGTGAGTCCATCGCTGTCATGGGTCTGTTGGGGTCCATCATCATCATCATCACAGGGTAATGGGGAACCATCAAGGTCGGAGGTCTGTGGGGGTCACCAGGGTTGTGGTCATCATGGGGCTCATCGGGGACCATGGGAGGCCAGCAAGGTCATGAGGTCATGGGGGATACCAGGGTTGTGTGGTTATGGGGAGTTATCGGGGTTGGGTGGGCATGGGGTCAGCAGGAGTCCATGGGGGTCCACCAGGGTCGTGTGGCTGTGGGGGTACAGCAGGGTCATGGGGCTGTGGGGGGTCACCAGGGTTATGTTGTTAAGGGGATCCATCACCGTCATGTGGTCATGGGGTGCCACAACATCTTTCCCATGACCCCACCACCCATCCCACAATCCCATCACCCATCCCACGATCCCACCACCCTTCTCAATCCATGCCACGATCCCACCACCCATCCCAACCCATCTCATGATCCCATCACCCATCCTGCTATCCCAGTACCCATCCCACCACCCAACCCAATCCTTCCCACGATTCCACCACCCATCCCATGATCCCACCACCCAACCCAAGCCGTTCCATGACTCCACCACCGCACACAGCCCAAGAAAACCCAACACAACACAACCCACCCTATGATCCCACCACCCTTCCCAACCCACCCTATGATCCCACCACCCTTCCCAATCCATCCCATGATCCCATCACCCATCCCATGATCCCACCACCCAACCCAACTCAACCCAACCCACAATCCTACCACCCATCCCACCCCTGTCCCCCCTTTCCAGGTGATGCGCTGGGAGGGCTCCATGTTCCGGGAGATCCAGCAGGTCCCGGCTCGGGGCTCGATGATCTTCCAGCCACTGACCTTGGGTGGCCACCGCTACGTCCTGCTGGGCAACGACTTCGCCCTGAGCCGCGTGTTCCGCCTGGGCCCCGAGGGGCACCTGGAGCCCACCCAGGAGCTGCTGGTGCCCACCCCCCGCGCCTTTGTCCCCGTCACCGTTGGCCACCGGCACTTCCTTGTGGCCTCGAGCTTCAAAGGGGCCACCCAGATCTACCGGCACATCACCGTAGAGCTCGGGGCATGAGAGGACATGGGGACATCAACCACTGTGTCCCCATGGACTGGTCACCTGAGGGATTTGGGGACATCAACCATCGTGTCCCCATGGACTGGTCACCTGAGGGATTTGGGGACACCCTGTGACCATGGACCTGGTCACCTGAGGGACATGGGGACACCAGACATCCTGAACCTGGTCACTTGTGGGACTTAGGGACACCATGTGACCATGGACCTGGTCACCTGAGGGACATGGGGACATCATCTCCCTCGCCATCATGGACCTTGGTGCCACCATCCCCCTGATGTCCCCAAGACTGCTGTCAGCCCAATGTCACCATTGGCCTCATGTCCCCTCCTGGTATCACCATCGCCCTGATGCCCCCAAGGCCACCACCTCAGGTTCTCTCCTCCTGGTGATACCATTGCCACGATATCCCCAAGGCCACCATCAACCTGATGTCACACTGAACTTGTGTCACCTCCTGGTGTCACCATGGCCCCGATGTCCCCTGTCCCCTCCTGCTGCCACCACCAACCGAAATGTCTCCAAAGCCACCTTCAACCTGATGTCACCATTGGCCCAATTTCATTTTCTGATGCCACCAATGCCCCGATGTCCCCAAGGCCACCATCACCGCAATATCACCATTGGCACAATGTCCCCTCCTGGTGCCACCATCAACCCTATGTCCCCAAGGCCACTGTCACCACAGTGTCACCACTGACCTCATGTCCCCTCCATGTGGCACTCACTGTCCTCAAAGCCACTATCACCCCATGTCACCTTGTCCCCTCCACGTGCCACCCCCAGCACTGTCCCCTGTCCCCATGTCCCCCCTATGTCCCCCCATGTGCCATCACCCCTGCAAGAACCAAATTACCCCTTTTTTTTATTTTTTACCTTTTTTTATTCATTTTCCCCATTTGTTGGGCTGTTTTGGGGGGGTTTCACCCCAAAATAAACCTGCCCGTCCCCTCTCCATGTGTCGCTGCACTTGGGGACACTCGGGGACACTTGGGGACACCTCAGCACGTGCTGGTGGCTCCTGTAAAGAGAGGGGAGACTAGGGGGGTCCTCATTGTCCCCAGCGTCCCCTCCAATGTCCCCAGAGCCCCCCTCCTTGTCCCCAAGTACTCCAGATGTCCCCAAGGGGATTGGGACACTCACCTGTCCCAACCAGGTGTGACATCTCAGGGGGGTGTCGTCGGTGGCTGTGGGAGGTGGGCGGGGTCAGGGACACCTCTGTGTCCCCAATGTCCCCAGTGCCCCCCTTGTCCCCCCCAGTGTCCCCCCAGTCCTCCCAGTGCCCCCCCAGTGTGCCCCTGTCCCACCTGGCCTTGCTCCGGCACTTGCACTTCCCACCTGTCGGGGGACACAACAGGTGACACAGAGAAGGTGACACAGGGACCCCCCGGGTGACACTGGGGACCTCCCCCAGCTGGCAGAGGTGACACTCACTGAGCAGGATGACGAAGCCCAGGACACACAGGACGGCGGCCACGCCCAGCCCGGCCACGCGCAGGTGATGCCAGTCTGGGGACACACACCTGTCACACCTGGGACACACCTGGGACACACCTGGGACACACCTGTCACACCTGGGACAGCTGGGACACACCTGTCACACCTGGGACAGCTAGGGACAGCTGGGGACACACACCTGTCACACCTGGGACACACCTGGGACAGCTGGGACACACCTGTTACACCTGGAACACACCTGGGACACACCTGTCACACCTGGGACACACCTGGGACAGCTGGGGACAGCTGGGGACACACCTGTCACACCTGGGACATCCCCATTCCCTCCCTACCCCTCCCAGTCCCCCCAGATTTTTTCCCAGTCCTCCCCAATTCCCTCCCAGTTCCCCCCAGTCCCCCCAAATTTTTTCCAGTCCTCCCCAATTCCCTCCCAGTTCCCCCCAGTCCCCCCAAACTGGTCCCCACTCACCGTACTGGAAGGGATTGTGGGCATCTGTGGGGAGGGGAAGAGTCAGAGGGACCAGGACTTCCCCACCCCAGTATAAACCAGTATAAGCACCCCCATCCCAGTATAACCCAGTACAGACCTGCTATGGACCCTCCCATTTCAGTATAAACCAGTATGGGCTCCCCCCAACCCAGTATGAGCCCCCACAGTAGTACAAACCAGTGTGAGCCCTCATCCCAGTATAAACCAGTATGGATCTCTCACATCCCAGCATGACCCAGTATGGCCTCCCCATCCCACTATAAACCAGTATGGCCCCCTCATCCCATTATAACCCAGTATGAACCCCACCCCCACTCCCAGTATGACCCCACCCCACTCCCATTACACCCCCCCCACCCCCAGTTGGCCCCAGTTTGTCCCAGTCACTCACCAGTGTGGGGGTTCCCTCTCACCATGGACAGAACTGGGACAGGGAGGGGAACCAGTTTGGGGGGGATCAATGGTCCCAGTTCCTCCCAGTTCAAAATAAACCAGTTCCCTACCCAGTTACTCCCAGTCCCTCCCCAGTTCCCTCCCAGTTGCTCCCAATCCCCTTCCAGTATATCCCAGTCCCCCCCAATTCCCCCCAGTATATCCCAGTGCCCTCAGTTCCTTCCCATTTGCTCCCATTTCCTTCCCAGTCCTCCCCAGTTCCCTCCCAGTTGCTCCCAGTCCCCACCCAGTCCTCCCCAGTTCCCTCCCAGTTGCTCCCAGTCCCCACCCAGTCCTCCCCCAGTGCCTCCCAGTTCCCTCCCAATCCCCTCCCAGTATATATATCCCAGTTCCTCCTCAACTGCTCTTTGTCCCCTCCAGTTCCCCTCAGTCCTCCCCAGTCCTTCCCAGTTTCCCCCAGTCCTCCTCAGTTCCTCCCAGTACCTCTCCCAGTGCCTCAGCCCAGTTCAGCCTAGTCCCATTCCCAGTGCCTCCCCAGTACTCAGGCCTCCAGTCCACTCCCAGTTCCCAGTCCCAGTTCCCTCTCCCAGTGGCTCCCAGTTCACCCCTAGTCGTCCCTCTCCCAGTATTCCCAGTGGTCCCAGTTCACTCCCAGTTCCTCCCAGTTCCAGTCACTCAGTTCAGCTCCCAGTCCTTCCCCAGTGCCTCCCTAGTTCAGCCTCCCAGTTCCTTCCAGTGCCTCCCAGTTCCTCCCAGTCCCCCCAGTTCACACCCCTGGTCTCTCCCCAGTATGTCCCAGTGGCCTCCCAGTCAGCCCAGTCCCTTCCCAGTGGCCTCCCAGTTCAGCCCAGTTCGCCTCCAGTCCACCCTAGCTCCCTCCCAGTCTGCAGTCCTCCAGTCCATTCCAGTTCAGCCCAGTGCCATCCCAGTCCCCCAGTTCAGCCCAGTCCATCAGGCCCACCAGCCCAGTCCCTCTCCCAGTGCACTCCCAGTTCACCCCAGTTCCAGTGCCCAATGCTTCAGCCCAGTCCTTCCCAGTGCCTCCCACGAGGAGCAACTGCAGGGGGACTGGGAGCAACTGGGGGGACTGGAGGGTGACTGGGAGGTAACTGGGACAGACTGGAGTGAACGAGGGGTTAACTGGGAGGGACTGGAGGGTAACTGGGAAGGTCTGAGGGGGGACTGCGGAGGTCACTCACCTTCCCAGAGCAGCCACAGGTAAAAGTGGTGGGTGAGACCTGGGGGGCGTGGCCACGGCTGAGGGGCGTGGTCATCGATGAGTGGGCGTGGTCGGTGTTGAGGGGGCGTGGTCACGGGTGGTGGAGTGGGGTGGACTGTGGGGGCAACTGGGATGGGCTCGGATGGAGTCTGGGTCATACTGGAGTGATACTGGGAGGGACTGGAGGACACTGAGAACGCTGAAGGGGGCACTGGGGAGGACTGGGATGGACTGGGGGGACACTGGGGTGGACTGGGACATACTGGTATGGACCGGGACATACTGGGGGACACTGTGGGAGACACTGGGGGTCACTGGGACATAATGGCGGACGCTGGGAATGCCGTGAATGATACTGGGATGGACCGGGACGTACTGGGGGACAATGGGAGCACTGGGGAGGACACCTGGGGGAATGGGGAGGGACTGAGGGGGACACTGGGGAGGGCTGGGGGACACTGGGGCATGCTAGGAATGACACTGGGAGGGAATGGCACTTACTGGGGGACACTGGGGGGGGGGCACCTGGGTGGACTGGAAGGGACGGGGGAAACTGAGTTGGACTGGAGGGACTGGGGACACTGGAGGACAGACTGGGGGAGGCTGGAAGGGCCCTGAGGAAGCGGGCTGTACTGGGAAGGCCTGGGGATGAACTGGGCAGTACTGGGGATGAAGTGGGCTGTACTGGGTGGGACTGGGACTGAACTGGCCCCTACTGGGAGGGCCTGGGAATGAACTGGCCCATACTGGGAGGGACTGCAGCGGTAGCCTGGGGTGTTCCCTCCTCTACGGCCTCCCATTGGTCGCAAAGCCCGCCCGTCAAGGCCCGCAGCCAATCCGCGTCCGAGAACGGGGTGGTGGAGGCGGGGCCTGGAGGCAGAGCCGCCTTCGACGCTTCCGGAACTACAGCTCCCGTCATGCACCGCGGCCGCATGAGGCCATTGAAAGCCGGGACTACAACTCCCATCGCCCCCCGCGGCCCCATAGACCCCCATTACCCAGGGTTTGCAGCCCCCCAAGTGCCCCCAAATTCCCTCCCCTGACCCCGAAGTGCCCCCTAAATGGCCCATAAGTGCCCCATTAACGGCTCCTCGGATACCCAAGTTCCCCTCTCCTGAGTCCCCCGAGTGCCCCCGAGTGCCCCCTCGGACCCCCAAGTCCTGGGAGGATGGACCCCATAGAAAAGGGGGCTCTGGGGGTCACTAAAGGGGGTTGTGGGGGCTTTAGGGGTCCGGGGGCGGGGGTTAGGGGGATCTAGAAGGGGCTTTGGGAATTTGAGGTGGAATTCAGGGAGTTTTGAGTGAAATCAGGGGGATTTCGGTGAGATTGAGGGGGGAGAAATTGAGGGTTTTGGGGATTGAATGAATGGATTTGGCGGGATAGTTTGGGATTGTTATAGGTTACCAGCAATGCCTCAAAGAAATTGAAGGAGCCAATTTACAATAGTAAGCAAATTTATCAGTAAGCGGTAGATAAACAATCGGCGCGCCGGGACGGGGGGGGGGGCTGTTTAGAACAAAAGAAAGTTCTCTCACAGCTCGCCGCCGCCGCCCCCCCTCAGGCTCTCAAACTTCCCCTTTTGAACCCCCCGGTTCGCCGTCCAGACATGCTCAGTACATAGGTTCTTATCCATACATAGTCCGGGGCATGTGCTCTTTGCACATGCTCAGTTGCAAAGTTTTCCCCATGCATGTTCCTGGGCTGTGTTACCGGCGTCCGTGGTCTGGGGGTTTCTTTGTGGGCCGGGGTCTCTGTGATGAAGATTTTGAGTCTTCCTCGATGTCCGCAAGATGAACCCGGCTTGGAGCATGCGCCTTTAGTAGGTATTTTTCCTCCCCTTCCAGTCTTATCGTCTATATAAATCACTTTGACTTCTTGTTTAGAGGAAGCTCCTCAGTATCCCCAGCTGGTGCCGTTTGATTACAGTGCCAGACTTCCCTCCCCCCTTTCTTATCAGCCTCGAGAACAAACGCCAGCTTGTTAGAGGTAGTTAACAGATATGTGGGAAATACACACGGAAATCACATATCAATGTCCTGAAGTTTTACTAAGTTTAACAAAAAAGAATCCCCTCTAAAATATAGCTTATTACAGGGATTAGGGGTGGAATTAAGGGCACTTGAGGTGAACTCGGGGATTTGGGGTGAAATTATGGAAATTGTAGGTGGGATTAAGGAATTTCGACTGAAATTGAGATTCGGGGTGAAATCGGGGATTTTGATGAGATTATGGGGATTTTATGTGGGATTAAGGGGGTTTTGACTGGAGTTAAACAGATTTGGGGTGAAATCAGGAGGAATTTGATGAGATTATGGGGATTTTAGGTGGAGTTGAGGCAGCTCTGAGTAGAACCATTGCAATATGAGGTGAAAATCAGAGGATGTGAGGTGAAATTAGGGGTGTTTGGGTGGAATTAAAGGAATTTTGTGTGAAATTAAGGGACATTTTGGTGGAATCTTGGGGATTTGGGGTGAAATTATGGGGATTGTAGGAGGGATTAAGGGAATTTGGAGTTCAATAAAGGGATTTGGGGTGAAATTAGGGAGATTTTAGGTGGAATTAAGGGACTTTTAAGTGGAATTAAGGGCATTTGTGGTGATATTTGGGGGATTTTGGATGGAATAAAGGGAATCTTGGGTGGAATTAAGTGGATTTAGGGTGAAATTATTGGGATTTTTTATGATTTCGGGGGATTTTAGGTGGAGTTAAGGGACTTTTGAGGTGAATTGAGTGGATTTGAGGTGAAATCAGGGATTTGGGGTGAAATTGGGGGGTGGGCCAGGTTAAGGGAGTGTTGTATGAAATTAAGGGAATTTTTGATTGAATCTTGGGGATTTGGGGTGAAATTAGTGGGACTTCAGGTGCAACTATGGGGATTTTAGAAGAGTCTAAGGGAATTTTAGGTAGAGTTAAAGAATTTGGAGTGAAATTAGGGGGATTTGGGGTGGAATTAAGGGGATTTGGGGAGGAATTAAGGGAATTCCTGTGAGATTGAGGGGTTAGTTGGAATTAAGGGATTTTGGGGGTTGAATTAAGAGACTTGGGGTGATATTTGGGGGATTTTAGGTGGAATTAAGGGGATCTTCAGTGGAATTAAGAGAATTTAGGGTGAAATCAGGGATTTGGGGACAAATGAGGGGAATTTTACATGGAACTAAGTGGAATTTTTGAGTGGAATTAAGGGGATTTGGGGTAAAATTAGGGGGATTTTTAGTGATATTTGGCAAAGTTTGCCTTGACCCACAAATGAGGGGAGGAATTGGGTTCTAAGATACCCCCAAGCAAGATTAAGGCCCAGATGAGGCCAGATGTTGGATTCCAAAAGGATAATCCAACTTCTTTTGCTAAAACCAAAAGAGAGGAGAGAAAGGAAGAAAAGCAGGAGAAGCCAAGACAAATTACTGGAAGCACAAAAAAGGGATGGGAAAGGGGGATGGGTGAGCTCCCAACCTGCTGTGGGGTGTGGGGGGGGCAGCCCCTGATTTGTGTCCCTGCAGATAAAGGGCTGTTCCAGTTCCTGGGAAAACTCAAGTGTCCCTTCCTGAATGGCCCCAACTGGGAGAGGTTTGTGCACAGGTACATCTACAACCCCAAATCCTCCCAAATATCCCCCTGAACTCCCAAGTCCCTTCCCCCAAATCCCAGTAAAATGGTGGGGCTTTGCATGTCTTTGTTCAATTTCTTTATTTTTACCCCAATTTTCGGTGTTCTGAGTGGATGAAGATGAATCAAAAGTAAATCAAGGCCAAAATAAAAGGATTTATGTTTTGGCACCATGTGAGTATCCATGGGGTTGGGTTGGGTGGGTAGAAGAGCCTTTTCAGGGGGTTTTACACTCCACTGTCTCCAAAATCTTGGCCTTTTTTCCCAGTCCATCACCATTTGGCTGTGGAAAATGCCCTTGGGCCATAGAGAATCAGAATCACAGAATTATTTAAGTTGGAAAAGACCTTGAAGATCATCCAGTGCTGCTTGATGCCACCAGAAGGAACAACTGGACAGAACAGGTGAGATTTTTGGGGGGTCTAAAGTCAACAAATCCGCTCTTCCCTATGAATTTCTGACCTCGGGCTGTGTCTCGATGGATGTTCTCCCCCTGCATTCACCCAGGTGCCTGCAGGGAACCAGGAGGATGTGGAGACCACCAGCCCGGTGTCCTCCCAGAGGTGGGAGCCATGGATGAAGCTCTTCCCACATTCTGCACACGTGTAGGGCCGTTCCCCAGTGTGGATGTGCTGGTGGGCAAGGAGGTTGGAGCTCTCGCTGAAGCTCTTCCCACATTCCAAGCACCTGAAGGGCTTCTCCCTGCTGGGAGGCTGCTCAGGGACCACCAGCTCGGAGCTCCGGCTCAAGCTCCGGCCGCCTTCCCGGCACAGGACGGGTCTTTCCTCCTCAGAGCTCCCTGGGCTGGCTTTGCAGCCCCTCCTCCGGGGGCATCTCCGGGCCTTTTCCTCCCCGCTGCCTTCCTGTGCCGGGGAGCCCTTCAAAACGGCATCTCCCAGCAGGCTCTGCCGGGGGGATTTGTCCTCCGTGCTCTCCGTCCTCAGCTCGGGGCCTGGGGCAGGAAGGAAGAAGGAGAGGCAGGGGATTTGCCTCCATGCCCAGAGGGAAGGGGAAGGAGAAGGAAGAAAGAGAGGAAGGAACATGAAAGGAAAGAACAAGCAGAAAAAGAAACAAGGGGAGGAAGGAACAGGAGGAGGAAGGAAAGAAGGAACAGGAAGGAAGAACCAGAAGAAGGAGAAAAAAGAAGTAAGAAGAGGAGGAATCACAGAATCAACTAGGTTGGAAAAGACCTCTGAGATCATTGAGTCCAACCTATGACCCAACACCACCTTGTCAACCAGACCATGGCACTGATGCCACATCCAGTCTCTTCTTAAACACCTCCAGAGACAGTGGCTCCGCCACCTCCCTGGGCAGCCCATTCCAATGCCCAATCACTCTTTCTGTGAGGAACTTCTTCCTAATGTTTAACTTAAACCTTCCCTGGTGCAGCTTAAGACCGTGCCCTCTTGTCCTGGGAGAAGACACCAACCCCCATCTTGCTACACTTCCTAGCAGGGAGTTGTTGTTGAGAGTGCTGAGGTTTCCCCTGAGCCTCCTCCTCTCCAGGCTCAACAACCCCAGCTCCCTCAGCCTCTCCTCACAGCACTTGTGCTCCAGGCCCTTCCCCAGCCTCCTTGCTCTTCTCTGCCCCTGCTCCAGCCCATCCATGTCCTTCCTGACCTGAGGGGCCAGAGCTGGACACAGCACTCCAGGGGTGGCCTCCCCAGTGCCAAGCACAGGGGCAGAATCACTTCCCTGCTCCTGCTGCCACACTCTTCCTGACACAAGGAGAGGAAGGAACAATGAAAAGAAAGGAGAAGAATGAACACAAAGAAAAAGGAGGAAGGAGAGAAAGATGAAAACAGAAGGAAGAAGGAAAGGGAGGAACAAGGAGGAGGTAGAAGGAAGGAAAAGGAGTGGAAGGAAGAAGGACAGGCAGGGGATTTGCCTCCGGCCCAGAGGGAAGGCCAAGGAGCCCTGAATCTCCTTCCCAGCCATCCTGGGTCTCCCCACCCAGGGAACCATCTTTCCCTGACACTGGAGGCCCCTGGATCCCACTTTCCTGGGCACAGGGACACCCTGGACTCCCCATTTGTCCTCTCCCCTCTCCTAGTCCTGCCTTTTCTTTACCTTGGGGCCCCCTGAACTCCCATTCTCAGACACTGGGACCAACCTGAACCCTCTTCCCAGCTCCAACCCCCTTCCATCCCCTTACCCTGCACCAATACCTCCCTGTACCTCCTTTCCTGCCCATCCCACCTCTCCCAGCCCCCAGGCTCCCCCTTTCCTTGATCCTGGGACTCCCTGGACTTGCATTCCTGCCTTTCCCAGAGCCCCTTTCCTTCACACCATGGACTCCCTGAATCCCTTCCCAGGACTCCCGATCCTGTGAACTGCCTTTCCCTGGCACTGCAGACTACTGGACCATCCTTTCCTGGACACGAGGACCCTCTAGATGCCCTTTTTCCCTTGGAACCCCCATCCCACTTCTCCAGGTTCCTGCACCCCCCTTCCCTTCACCCTTGGATCACCTGGAAACCCCCTTCCCTGTGTCCCTCCTGCACCCCCAAGATTCAGCCCAAAACACCAAGATTCATCCAAAAAAACCCTCCCAGGGTTCCCTTCTCTGGTCTCTTCCCTTTGGGGTTCTGGAGGTCCCCCATGTCCGGGCTGTTGGGGGTCCTGTGTGTATTGGGGTCCCCCCTCTGGGCTGCCGGGAGTCCTGGGACTCCCAGGGGTCCCCCATCTCCTGTCTTCCCCCTCTGGAGTCCTGGGGTCCCCCCTCTCCGCAGCCCCCCGCTTAAGGATGTCGGGGGGGTTGGGAGTCACAGGGGTCCCTTCTCCCCTGACTCTACTTTGGGGTGCGGGTTCCCAGGGGTTCCTCCTCTCCTGTGCTCCCCCTTCTCCAAGCTGCCGGGGGTCCGGCAAATCCTGGGTTCCCTCCCTCCCCAGCTCCCTCCTTCAGTGTCCATGGGGTCTCCCCTGGCAGGAGGGGGTCCCGAGGGTCCCTCGTCTACGGGCTCCCCGTCTCAGGGTCCCAGAGGGTACCCCAGAAGATACCCCCTCTCCGTGCTCCGGGCTGGCAATGACCCAGGATGAACAACCCCCCCCTGCGGGGGGTGACACCTCTCATGCCCCCACCCATCACCGGGGCTCTGCCGGGAACCGCCACCGAGACCCCAAAAAAAACACCTCCAGGGGACCCCCAATATCCCCCCAAGGGGCATTTGCGGCTCAGCTTTAGAGTCCTCCAAGCCCCAAACATCCCTCCCCCCTCTCCCTCAAAACAAAAACAAAACACAAACAAAACAAAAAAAAAAAAAAAAAAAAAAAACAAAACAAACAAAAAACCAACCTCCAAGATATTTGGGGCGAGCTCCCCCTCCCCGCTCACCTGAGGAGCTCCCGGGGGAGCCTCTCGGCCTCTCCTTCTGCCCTCGCTGCTCGTCCCGCCCCTGCCTCCCCCTCCTCTTCTCCCTCCACTCCTGCTGCTCCGCCTCCTCCTTCCCCCTCTCCCCCTTCCTCCCTCCCTCCCCTCTCCCCCCTCTCTCCCTCTCCCCTTCCCCCTTCCGTGCCTTCCCCCTCTCCCTTCTCCCCTCCCTCTCCTCCCTCCCTCCTCCCCCTCCCTCCCTCTCTCTCCCCTCTTTCCCCCTTTCCGTGCCTTCCCCCTCTCCCTTCTCCCCTCCTTCCCTCCCTCCCTTCTCCCCTCCCTCCCTTCTCCCCTCCCTCCCTCCCTCCTCCCCTCCCTCCCTCCCTTCTCCCGCTCCCGCCGCTCCCGCCCATCCGGGCCCTCCTCAGTTCCTCCGGGCCGCGCTGGAACGGCCGCGATCAGGGGAGCCCCAGGCCGGGCCCCGACCCTCTCCCCCGACAGGTAATGCAGGGAGGGGGAACTGAGGGACACGGGGGCTTGGGGGCTGAGGGTCCCAGAGTCGAGGCGGGGGTGAGGAGAGGTGGGATGGTCGGGAAAGGGGGTGCAGGGGGGTATCGGTACGGGGTGAGGGGGTGCAGGGGGGACACGGTGCTGGGGAAGGGGGTTTCCAGGAAAAGGGGATGCACGGGCTTGGAGACGGGGGATGGGGTGGTCCCGTGCCCAGAAAAGGGGGATCGGGGGTCCCTGGTGTCAGGGAAAGGGGGGTCGCGAGGTGGGGAGACGCGGGATGGCTGTGAAGGATTTCAGGGGGTCCCTGATAAGAAGCAAAGGGGGTCTCGGAAAGGGAGGAATGGGTATCAAGTGGAGTCCCAGAGTTAAGGAAAGGGGGAGTCTGGGAGAAGTGGGATGGGCAGGAAAGGGGGGCAGGGGGATCCTACAGTCAAAGAAAGAGGGGTGTGGGGGCTGGAAAACTGGGAATGGCCTGGCAGGGGGTCCCAGTGCCTGGGAAAAAGGGGTGCAGGGGGACCCTGACAATAATAGTGAAGAGCAGGAGGAAACAATGGGATGAGGCTCCAAAGTGCTGATTTCCAGCAGCAGGAAGGTGGGGAGAAGGCAGGGAAGTGCCCCTAAGGAATGGGATCCCGGAGCAGATCTGCTGGTCAGGGCCAGAGTGGGAACTGGGAACAAGGATTTTGGGAATGCAGAGCAGAGGGAGGGGGGTTGCCCTGTCAATCCTGCGCTTCCTAGAGCCCAGTAACTCCCAATATGAGCCCAGTCACCTCCAGTATAAGCCCAGTTGCTGCCAATATATCCCACTTGCCCATTCTATGGTCCCCAGCATAGTGTTCCCAGTATGAGTCCAGTATGATCCCAGCCCCCCAACAGGGTTCCAGTTACTCCCAGTTGCCCCCAGTGTAGACATAGTCACTCCCAGTGTTGTCCCAGTCACCACCAGTATGGTTACAGACGCTCCCAGTGTGGACCCAGCTTCTCTCAGTATGATCCCAGTTACCCCAGCTGTGGTCTTACTACTGCATGCATCATTCCAGTATCTGCCAGTTGATCCCAGTTGCTCCCAGTGTGTCCCAGGCTGGGTCCCAGCATGATCCCAGTAGCTCCCAGCAACCCCAAGTAAGACCTTATTCACACCCACTGTAACCCCAGTCACTCCCAGTATGATCCCAGTTGCTCTCTGTCGAGACCAATATAATCCCAGTCATCTCCAGTATGATCCTAGTCACTGCCCACCACTCCCTGTATGATCCCAGTATGATGCCAGTCACTTGCAGTCACTCCCAGTATGATCCCAGTTGCCTCCATCGTGGTTGTATTTGTTCCCAGTATCAACCCAGTCACTCACAGTGTGATGCCATTTGCTCCCAGCATCGTCCCAGATGCTGCCAGTCACCCCCAGTATGATCCCAGTCACTGCCAAGTAGTTCCAGTACTGTCCCTGTCACTCCCAGTTTCTCCCAGTATGAGCCCAGTTGCCCCCCACATGGTTCCAGTTGCTTCCTTTCACCCCCACTGTGGTTCCAGTCACCTCCAGCGTGCTCTCTGTCACTCCCAGTTGCTTCCAGCATGATCCCACCGGTACAAGCTAGTTCTTACTTCCTCCTCGTGAGAATTCATTTACCAGTCCTATTCTTTTGATTTTCATTCGAAGATCTCGTGGTTCGGATGTAACAGTCCACTTTGGGGAAGACAATTCCACCGGTCCTTTAACCCGCGACGCACGAGTCCAGCCTCTTTCAGCAGTACGAATTGCTGTATCTGTGGTAATAAGAACAACAAAGGGCCCTTCCCAACGAGGGGTTAATGAGGATTCCTTCCAGGTCTTTATTAATACCTGATCTCCAATTTGAGTCTTATGTATTGCTATGTCTAAAGGAGGTCTCTGAGGTACTAATCCTTCTTTTCTTAACTCCTGTCTTCTCTTCATTAATTCAGTTATACATTCCCTTAGAAAAGTATCTTCTATTTTTGGGTTCTAGAGGGCTACCAAAATCATATGGCATCCCATATATCATTTCAAATGGTGAGATCCCTGTATCAGCACGCGGTTGGGTCCGAATATACAATAGAGCTAATGGTAAACATTTTACCCAATTCATTTTAGTTTCCATCATCAATTTAGTTAAGTGCTTTTTAATTTCTCCGTTCATCCTTTCAACTTTACCAGAACTTTGTGGGTGCCAAGGTGTGTGATACTCCCACTTAGTTCCAAAAAGCTCCGTTGTTTCTTTAATTATTTAGAGGTAAAATGTGGTCCCCTATCTGAATCTACGATGGTTACAATACCATATCTCGGAATTATTTCTTCTAATAAAATCTTAATTACTGTTTGGGCCGTACATCGTGCTACAGGAAAAGCCTCTACAAAATGAGTAAGATGGTCTGCTAATACTAATAAGTAACAATACCTCCCTACTTTAGGTAATTCGGTAAAGTCTGCTTGTATTTTCTCAAAAGATCTTTTAGGTATCTCTCAGCCTCCTTGAATTCTTTCTCTCAGTTGCCTTTTGTTCACTTTTTGGCAAGTTATGCATCCCTCTAGAATCCTTTTGCAATTCCATATGCCCCAACACAAACATATTTGTTTTTGAATTGATCTATTAAGGTTTGTGTTCTCCAATGTGTTTGTTCATGTAATTTAGCCATAATCTTTTGAGCAAGGCCCTTTGGGAGTATTTCCCGACCATCGGGTAACATCCATTTATTATATTCTTCTTTTGCCTCTACTTGTTGTAATTTTTCTTTTTCTTGCTTGCTAAAGCTTTTAGGGAGATTTAAATTTTCGGGGTTTGAGTTATTTAATACTAATAAAGCTGCTCTTTTTGCTTCTTCATCTGCTAGGTTATTTCCCCTAACCATGGCCTTTAGTCCCTTTTGGTGGCTTTTTACGTGTACTACAGCGACTTTTTCTGGCTTCCTCAAAGCTTTTAAAGTTTCTTTTATTAAAGTATCATGAATTAATCCCTTTCTCTGTGCATTTATTAGTCCCTGTTCTTCCCAAATTTTCCCGAAGGTGTGTACTATTCCAAAGTCAGTAAATATTGTTCCCACCTTTCCCTCTAACTGGTGTAAGGCCCTTAATAAAGCATATAATTCACAAGCCTGGGTTGACCATGTTTTATCGAGAGGTCCAGATCCTCTTACTCGAAATGTAATCCCATCTATCACAGCATACCCTGATTTTTGATGTCCATCTACGACTCTTGATGAACCATCTATGTATAATTTTTCGCCTTCCTCCAATTCTTCTTCCTCTAGGTCTTCCCTAATTTTAGCCTGGAGATCGACTACTTGCAAACAATCATGTACTAGTTCTCTTTCCGGTTCCCCATATAAGAATTGGGCCGGATTTTGCAAATTCATCATCTCTAATTCTAACTTAGGTGAGTGTAGTAGGATACTTTCATATTTTAGCAAGCGACTATCTGTTACCCATTTATCAGCTTTTTGTTGTAAGATTCCCCTTATATTGTGAGGGGTGAAGACCTTCAACTCCCCTCCAAAGGTTACCTTTCTGGCTTCTTCTACTAATAAAGCTGTTGCTACAATAGCTTGCACACAAGTAGGCCACCCTCGACTTACTGGATCTAGTAATTTAGAATAGTACCCCACTGGTTTCTTTTGTCCTGCCCATGTTTGAGTTAAGACTCCATGGGCTGTCCCATTTTCAGTATTCACAAAAAGATAAAATGGTTTTTGGATATCGGGCGGACTTAATACCGGAGCATTTATTAGATCTTCTTTGAATTTCTTTAATTGCTCCTCATCTTCATAATTCCATTTGATTAATCTGTCCTTTGTTAATTTTTCATATAAGAATTTAACTTTACTGCTATAGTTTTCAATCCATTGTCGGCAGTACCCCAATAATCCAAATAATTATCTGTCTTTTGTTTTTAGGTGCCTGCAAAGACAGAATTCTGAGTACTCATTCGGGGTCCAGTCTCTTGTGTCCCTTACTTAACCAATGTCCTAGATATTTAACTTCTTCTTCAGTAAACTGTAACTTTGATTTTGACACTTTCAATCCTTTTGAATTCAAAAAGTTTAGTAATCTAATACTCTCTTCTCTAACTGCCTCTGGGTTCTCTCCCACAATTAGTAAGTCATCTACATATTGGATTAGCACAGTACCTTGGTGTGTCTCAAAAGATTCCAATAATTGTTCTAAAGCTTGTCCAAATAAGTTGGGGGATTCTGTGAACCCCTGGGGTAAAACTGTCCACCTCAACTGTTGCTTTCGGTGGGTTTCAGGGTCTTCCCATTCGAAAGTAAAATAGTCTCTGCTTTCTTCCTTAAGGGGACAAACCCAAAAGGCATCTTTCAAGTCTATTACACTGTACCATTTATGGTCAGGGGTGAGTTGATTCAGTAAAGTGTATGGGTTAGCAACTACTGGAAATCGGGTGACTGTTCTTTTATTTACTTCTCTCAGATCTTGTACTAATTGATAAGTTCCATCAGGTTTTCTTACTGGTAAAATAGGGGTATTACGTGGTGACATACAAGACTCCAATAGTCCCTGTGTTATAAGCTTTTCTATAGTAGGTTTTAATTCTACCTTTCATTTATAGGAAATAGGGTATTGTCTTACTCTAATTGGTTCCTCAGCATTCTGAATAACAACCTCAAATGGTTTTATATTTAATTTCCCCACAGAGTCTGGAGTATACCAGACTTCAGGGTTTATTCTGCTTCAGGGACTAACAAAAATGATCCCACAACATATTTCTTAGGAGTCTCTATTTCTACATTTTTAATAAGGGGTACCCTAAATGGTTCTCCTTTTGCCCCTATAACTTGTACTGAATCTGAGGATGCTACACAGCCCCAAGGTATTTTCTGAACAGTTGATCTCTCTGCTCCTGAGTCCGCTAAGGACTCAATCTCTTGTTACTGGGGACCTAATTTTAATTTTATCACGGGCTCTGTATTTGTCCAGGTCCCCAGCAAACAGAGCCCCTGACCCCCTAATCTTCTTGAAATACTTGCTCATCCTGCATACCCTTCCTACAATTCCTTCTCAAATGTCCTTTCTTGCCACAGTAATAACATTCTGCTTCTGTCTGACCTGTCTGTTTTTGGTTATTTGGGACTGCTCGTTTGTCAGACCCACGAGGGGTCCCACGTCTTTGCTTATAATTCTCTTTCCTTCCCTCCCTCACTGTTGTCATAAAAATCCTTGCCTGTTTCTTTTGACTTTCTTCATCCCTTCGTACATATACCTTCTGAGCCTCTCTCAATAATTCATCTAACCCTCGCTCTTGCCAATCCTCAATTTTCTCTAACTTCTTTCTAATATCCTCCCATGATTTTGCTACAAACTGTGTTTTAAGTAAAGCTTGCCCTACTGGAGTGTCAGGGTCTAGACCCGAGTAGAGCTGTAGGCTCTTTCTTAACCTTTCCAACTAGTCAGTAGGAGTCTCATCCTTTTTCTGTTGTTCTCTAAATGCCTTATTAATGTTCTGTCCCCTGGGGACAGCTTCCCTGATGCCCTGCACTATGATTGTCCATAAATCCGACATATGATTCCTATGGGCTGGGTCCTGGTTGTCCCAGTTGGGCCTCTGAAGGGGCCACTTTACGTCCGCAGCTGGTCCTTGCTGATGTCTTTGGTTCCAATTTCTCATCCCCGCCCTTCTAATCATTTCCCGTTCCTCAGCTGTAAATAATATTCCTAATATTGCCTGCATTTCATCCCATGTGTATGTATTAGGACCCAAAAATTGATCAAACCTCTCAGCTACACCGAGGGGGTCTTCTAATAAGTTCCCCATTTCCTTTTTAAACTCTCTAACGTCCCCTGAATTTAAGGGGACCGACACGAATCCCATCCCTTGTTGGCGTCCTCCCATGGCAATCTCCCTTAAAGGGTATAACTGCATTTGTTCAGTAACCGGGAGTGTGGATGGGGAAGTAGTATCCAGGGAAGAGAGTTCCTGTACCGCGGCAGGAGAGGAGGGACAGTCTCACACCAGGTTGGGGGCGGTGGGTAAGGTGGCAGTTCCCGCGCCGTGGCAGAGGGGGCAGGACAAAAAGGCGGTTTCCGCGCCACAACAGGGGGAACGGGACAGGATGGCGACAGGGCTGATCCTGCTGTAGCAGTGGGCTGAGGGGTCATTACGGGAGCAGGTACAGGTGGGATGTATGGAAAATTCCCAAACAGGGTTCTAGTGTCTGACCTTATCCATATACTAGCATACTTGCTCTCTTGTGAACAGAAGGGTTCCTTACTAATTACATAAATGTAGTCCTCAAACGCGCCATATACTGGCCAATATAAATGATCTAATCTTATCTGTTTTCCTCCCCAGACTTCCATACAATAATGTACCATCTTTTCCCTTGACTTCTCTCTTCCAGAGGGATAATTATTCCAATATTTTATCATTATTCCCAAGGGACTATCTGGGGGTATACCAGGCAATTCCAACTCAAAATTGCCCATGGGAGAAAAAAATCTACTCATCATTTGTCCCATCTTCCGAAAGTGCCTTCTCACACACGCACACTCGTTTCCCCTCATTCGTGGCTTATGCCCTCACAGGCGATAAGAACCGCACTAATAGAAGGTCCACACTCGCTTCGTCCCAATGGACGTCTCAATCGTTTGCACTCCGGGAATCCTTTGTCCCCGACCGAACGGAACCGCAAACACTTACTCACTCCTGAGTCTTCACTCGGATCTCCGGGAATCTTTTTATTCCCGACCAAACGGAATCGCAGATACTCACTTACTCTTGAGTCTTCGTTCGGATCTTCATGCACAAAAATTACAGGGAACTGCAGTATATTCTTTTGCTCATTTGTCTTAAATCTCAGTCGGATATCCAGAGTCTGTACTGCAGGGGACCCTCCCCAGGACCATCCAAACGGAGATGGTGGCGCCCTCCTGGAGCTGGAGTCCCGCAGCACAGAGGATCTGGGTCCGAGTCACGGCACCAAATTGTTATAGTCACCAGACCACAAACATAAAATTTAAAATATTAAAATTTATTAAAGGCGAATGAGCAAAACAGCACTGGGCGACTGGGGGAGTCTCCTGCCCCGCCAACGGTTCACGCACCAAAAGGCTAGCACCGGTCTTTTATATGTGCCACTATCCCCTCCTCCTTCAGGTGCTCCTCGGATGAAGGCAGGTCCCGGATGAAGGCGGGAAGGTGGCAGGTTCTCCTCCCCCAGCTCCCCTGGATGACTCATTTTGCCCACATCTTTACAGGCACATTTAAAGCTTACATTCAGAACTTGCTTAACATAATAAGATATAGCTTGTCATAGTAACATAACATTGTGGTTTGACACCTGCAATTCAAACTAACCACCAACCCCTAACATTACAAAGTTAATTTGATTAGCAAATTATCTACCTTTGCTTTTATTAACTATTACAGTCAGTGTGGTCCCAGTAACCCCAGTCACCTCAAGCATGATCTCAGTTGCTCCCACTATATCCCAGTTGCCCATAACATGATCCTGGTTGCCCCCAGCATGCTCCTTGTCACTCCCAGTATGATCCAAGTCACCGTTAGTATGATCCCAATTGCCCCCAGCATGGTTCCAGTTGCTCCCTGTTCTTCACAGTGGTTTCCCTGTTGCCTCTAGTGTAGTCCCAGTGTGATCCCAGTCTCTCCCAGCATGGGCCCAGTGTCACGGTGGGAGTGAGAGGCTTAGACAAAAGTCATTCAGAAGTGCTGCCGTTGAGTCCCGAGGAGCAGAAAGGACTCCCAGGTTTCCTAAAGCCCTGCTGGGAGAAGAGCCCGAGTGCAGCTGAATCCAATCTCAGCCTCGGATTGTGCTAGCATTTAAGGAATTACAGAGGTGTGACTGAACTACTTTTGTCCCACAGGTTTTAATAATTGGCAAAATGAGAATATTTATATAAAATAATCATTTATTATAAAAAATGATCAGATGAAAGATCTTAATCAGAATTACTTACTACACAATATAAAGGCTAAAACTACCAGTAGTGTAGTATAAGACAGGATAGTGCACTATATTGAAGCAATTATCGAAGCAGTTATATTAAAGCCAGCAAAAAGGAAATAATTATTAATTAGAGATGGATGTAACTCCCCCAGACCAATGCTTCTGGGGAGATCTCTGCTCTCACCCTGCAGGAGTGACCTTGGGGGTGTCCCCAGCCAAAGGAGCAATCTCCACACTTACACCCCCAGGAGGGTTATGTCAGAAGAACCTGACTGTGAGAGGGGACTGGACTTTAGTATAAGGTGATTGACTCAAGTCACGCATTTACAGCCCCTCGAGCAGCTGATCTGACTCAAAGTCTGGTGAACCAGGATGGGTTTAGCACAAATAACACCAAGGCAACACCAGCAGTTGATGGTTTGCATCCTGTGCATTCTCTGATTGGATTTTAGGTTTGATCAGGGGTAGGCTCTCCTGCCACACCCAGTCACACCCACTTGCCCTCAGTATAGATCCAGTCACTCCCACTTGCTCCCAGTTCCTTCCAGTGTGGTCCTAGTCATTCCCAGTATGTTTACAGACACTCCCTGTATTATTCCAGTCCCTTTCAGTCACTCCCAGTATGATCCCAGTGTGTCCCAGTGGCTCCCAGGATGAGCCCAAAGCTGTTGGAACACCTGGAGGCCCCACCCAGGGGAGGTCCCTGCAGGTTCTGTGGCTGCAGAAGAGCCCCAAGAAGCCGAGGTCTCCCCAGAGCCCCCCCAGGCAGCAGAAGGTGGTGACAACTCTCCAGCCCGGGGTCCCGGGAGCACCGAGGGGTCTCCAGCCCGACCCCCCAGCAAGGGGCTCCCACAGCCCCTCCTGCTGCCCCCAAAATCCCTCGGAATCCCCCATTCTCCATCTCTGTATTCCCCCCTCCAAGATCTCCAGGCTCCTGAGGAGAGCCCAAAGGGGTGGAAATGCCCACCCAGGGGGACCATAACCCCCAAATTTTGATCTCCAGCCAACCCTTTTGCCCCTTTTCCTGTTCTTTTGCCCTTCCTGGGATGCCCCCAGGGGGTGGAAGCAGCCCAGGGCCCAGCACTGTCCCATCCCCACCTGCCCCAACTCCATCCCTGCTCCTCCCACGGGATGGGATGGGTTTGGGGGGAAGGGGGCACCAAGGGTGGGCACTGGGCCTGGGGGAGGAGGAGGAGGGATGGAGAAAGGAGTGGGAGAAAGGGTGGAGGTAGGAGAAGAAGGAGGTGGGGTTGGGGAGGAGAAGGAGGAGGAAGAGCAGAAGAGGAGGAGCAAGAGGAAGGGGAAGGATAGAGGAGGTGGGGGGCAGGAAAAGGAGGAAGAGGAGGAACAACCATCACAACTCCTCCCACCCTGAAAGCATCTCCCCTCCTGCATCTCACAGGTGACTGGGGAGGGGGAGCTCACCCCAGATATCTTGGGGGAGTCTGTGTTGGATTTTTTGGGGGAGAGGATGTTTGGAGCTTAAATACTTCAAAATGAACTGCAAATGCCCCTTGGGGAGATACTGGGGGGGCCCCAACAGGTGGGGTTTTTTGGTGGGGATCCACAGCAGGTGCCAGCAGGCAGGAGCCACATGTCCCAACTCGGGGTGGGGGGGAGGGCACCAGTTTTGGGGACCTCCAGCAGACCCAGGTGGGGAACCCCGGGGCCCCCCAGAGTGGGGAGAGTGGAGAGGGGTGACACTGGAGCTGGGGAACCCCCAGCAGCCTGGAGAGGGGGGGAGCACAGAGATGGGGGGAACCCTGAGACGTGGCAGCCCCAAGAGGAGAAACTCTGGAGGGGGGAACCTCTGGGATACTGAAACTGGAGCCTGGAGAGAGAGGACCTCCAACAACCAGGAGAGAGGGGACCCCTGGGAATCCAACACCCAGAATCAGAGAGTGAAGGAAGAATGGACCCTTTAACCCCCAACGCCCCTGGCATCCCTAAGCAGGACCATGGAGAGGGAGGAACTCCAGGACCCCAAAGTGAGGAGTCTGGAGAGGGGGCGCTCCTGGGATTCCCAAGGCCACTAGCAGCCTGGAGGGGGCAGGGATCCCGGAGAAGATGGACCCCCAATACACACAGCACCACGAACAGCCTGGATGGGGGGACCCCAGAACCCCAAAGTGGAGAAACCAGAGAGGGGCAACTCCTGGGAGGTTTTCATGGATACCATTCTAGGGATAGACTTGGGCAGGAGGAATCCCCAACCCAACGTGCTCACACCCTGTTTTTCCCACCAAAACAGGATTTCTCATTGCCAAACCCTTACTGGATGGAGGAGAAGATTGTGAGGAAGAAGAAGATGCCGCAGGACACCCAGGCAGGTGAGGAGGAAGTCAGTGCCCCTTTCCCCCTCTCTTGTTCTACGTCTCCCAGCCGAGCATCGCCCCCGGCTGCAGGACAACCCCGCTGGCACCACCGTCCTGCTGGGGCTGGATCTGGGGGATGTCCTTGGCCTTCCCTCTGGGCCAGAGGCAAATCCCCTGCCTCTCCTTCTTCCTTCCTGCCCCAGGCCCTGAGCTGAGGACGGAGAGCACAGAGGACAAATCCCCCCGGCAGAGCCTGCTGGGAGAGGCCGTTTTGAAGGGCTCCCCGGCACAGGAAGGCAGCGGGGAGGAAAAGGCCCGGAGATACCCCCGGAGGAGGGGCTGCAAAGCCAGCCCAGGGAGCTCTGAGGAGGAAAGACCCGGCCTGTGCCGGGAAGGCGACCAGAGCTTGAGCCAGAGCTCCGAGCTGGTGGTCCCTGAGCAGCCTCTGAGCAGGGAGAAGCCCTTCAGGTGCTTGGAATGTGGGAACAGCTTCAGCCGCAATTCCCACCTGATCCGCCACCAGCTGATCCACACAGGGAAATGGCCCTACACGTGCTTGGAATGCAGGAAGAGCTTCAGGTGCAGGTCTGAACTGGTTCTCCACCAGCACATCCACACTGGAGATAAGCCCTACAAGTGCTTGGAATGTGGGAAGAGCTTCAGCCACAATTCCCACCTGATCCGCCACCAGAAGATCCACACAGGGGAACGGCCCTTCAAGTGTTTGGAATGTGGGAAGAGCTTCAGAGACAGCTCTACCCTGATCCGCCACCAGCTGATGCACACAGAAAAACAGTCCTACCCGTGCTTGAAATGCAGAAAGAGCTTCAGGCACAGGTCTGAACTGGTTCTCCACCAGAGCATCCACACTGGAGATAAGCCCTACAAGTGCTTGGAGTGTGGGAAGGTTGTCAGCCACAGTTCCAGCTTGATCCGCCACCAGATGATCCACACAGGGGAACGGCCCTTCAAGTGCTTGGAATGTGGGAATAGCTTCAGAGACAGCTCTACCCTGATCCGCCACCAGCTGATCCACACAGAAAAACGGTCCTACCCGTGCTTGAAATGCAGGAAGAGCTTCAGGCACAGGTCTGAACTGGTTCTCCACCAGAGCATCCACACTGGAGATAAGCCCTACAAGTGCTTGGAGTGTGGGAAGGGTGTCAGCCACAGTTCCAGCCTGATCCGCCACCAGATGATCCACACAGGGGAACGGCCCTTCAAGTGCTTGGAATGTGGGAAGAGCTTCAGAGACAGCTCTACCCTGATCCGCCACCAGGGCATCCACACCAGGGATTAGCCTTACATGTCCTTGGAATGCAGGAAGAGCTTCAGCCACAGCTGGTGACCTACTGAAGTGCTGAGGCCTAAACAACAGGCCCTGAGCCGAAGTTGACCTCCAGATGAACCTTTCAGCCTGACGTACTTAGCCGTGTGTCCGCTCGTCAGCAAACTATGGACGCTTGTTAGTAAAATATGGACTACAATAATACTACACCTGTGTCAATATGTGTGCTTATTAGTAAGCTATATCTGTGTTCTCTCATTAGTGAATAACATTGGTATCTGTCCATTAATGAAATGTATATGTTTGTCAGCAAAATAGGACTGTATTTATCTTTCTGTACTTAGAGACTGGTCAAGGCCATGGAAATAGATCTCTGGCCTTGTTTGGCAGCAGATGGTTCAGGCTGACTCCCTTGGTTTTGCCCTGAAGCCCTGGCCAGGCTTTAGGTGAAACCCAAGGAGAGAAGGAAACCAGATATTTTCCACACTAGTGGTTATGTAAGTTGGTTTGTTCAACAGTATAAAAGCTGGACCCTCTCACAGCAAAGATGGAGACCCCCACCCTACGAGTGGATGGCCTGCGTGGGACTTCCCAGATCCCGAGAGGGGTTCTCTGACCCTTTGCTGTGACTGGGACTCCCCTGCTGACCTGCGGGTCTGGATGCTGATAACGTATCAGGATAACTGGTGATTTCTTAGTGACTGTAGGCAGTCTTTGTAGTCATGATGAGGTGCATTACTGAGCTTATCTTTTTGTGATTCTTTGCTGTTTTGCATAAAAGTAACTTTACGCACTTGTTCCTTAAGGTTGATGTCTGTGTCTCTCATGCTGACCCTCATCCCCTTGGCAAAACAACTCGAGATGTCACCGTGTGCTTGTCTGTGACCTTTCTCCTTCTGAGCAGTGAGAGGTTTGACCTTGACTGGACACCAGGTGTCCACACAAACCACCCAACCCCTCCAAAGGGAAAGGGAAGTGTCGCAGGTCGAGGTAGGATAGCAACATGGTTTCATGATATCAGCTCTTTATTACAACAGTGTAGCTACTCTAATACAGTTCTAGGTGACACGTGTACACACAGCATTGGTTTACCACTAACATAACAACTCATGATTGGACACACAGCCACATGTCTGAACACAATAGGTCAGCATTCCTGACAGGAAACCCATTCTGTGTTACGGTCCTTACTGTCCGTGGCTGACCCTCTACCAGGTGTAGAAGTTCCATCTTCGGTATTTCAACTTACAGAGAGCCCAGAACCAGCTGGGCTCCCCCACAATTCCCCCTCTTTTGTATTATAGAAAATGCCAGCATCATCTAATACAGGGTCCTTGCATTAGAGACATGGCAATATCAATAATACAATACAACTACACACACAGGCAAAGAATCAACCCCAATAGTCCTTCTTTCATCAGTCCACAGGAATGGTATTCCTTCTTCTCATTTCTGAATGTCCATAAATGAGTCGTCCATGTAACTTGTGTGTGTGCAACAGGCAGGTAGAGAGCAGTCTGTTGGAGGATAAAAATACTACTCCTCAAAAGTTAGCTGAACAAGCAGGTATCCATCCTTTTTTTTTTTTCTTTCCCTTCTTTTTCTTTTTTTCCCTATTTTTTCCCTATTTTTTTCTATTTTTTCCCTTTTTTTAATTTTTTTTTTTCAAATTATTACTGGTAGTTTTTGACTTCTTAAAGCCTTTCAGTGCTTCTTCACTACGTGTGGAACTTTTGAACAAAGATTTGCCCGATTCATCCCACACAGATACACTGAAAGCAACTTTAGAAGTCATCTGGTATCCCTGGTCTCTGCTCTATATTGGCATTTTTGCAGGAGCAAGGCATCTAGCTTGATTCCATGTTCCTTCAGCAGTAACTGCTACATCTGGATGATAGAATCATCCTCTCTAGATAACGTGGAACCCATTATTCTCCGGTGGCTCACCTGTTTTAAACAGGTGTCTCATTATATATCTGAGCCGGCCCCTCTGCAACTCTCTTGTCGCTCTCAAAAGCTACACTGGAGTTTCCACCCCCTACGGTTCCTTCAGAGCTGTCTTTCTCCGTCCTCACTTGGGACGTGGAAAACCTTCTAGATTGCTTCAGGAGGTACTTATGTGAGTTACAAACAGAGCGACAAAAAACAAAGCCGAACGATGGCTGGAATGCTGATCTAAGCAGCCGAGAGTCGACAAACGGCGGTTGCCAGGATACAGAGATTTCACAACAGTCCGAGCCGAACGGGAGGGCGAGCAGCAGTTTGCCTGCCCGGTGGCTACAGGAGCAACGGAGCCGGGTCCACTCGGAACAGACGGCACTGCTGAGTCAGGGCACGTTCAGGGTGCGGTCTCAGCTTGCTCAGGGCACGACCAGGGGCATCCGGTGAAAATGGAGGGACGCGAACCAGGCACGGAGCAGGGTGGAGCACTGCACAGAGCCGGGATGTCAGGAGAGGCGCTGCGCAGTTTACGTACAGCAGCACGCTGGTCGCATTCACAGCCACGCAGTTTCCATAGGGCTGTGGCTGGGACGCGGAGCGAGATGGAGCAGGGCAGCCCTGTGGGAAGGCTGGGAGCGGAGCGGAACCGACAGGGATTGGACCTGCAGGGTTAGGTGTGTGCCCGATAATTTACGCACAGCAAAGGCAATGCCTCAGCAGCAGAGAAAAAATGTCAGCAGCAGCGACAAGGAGAGCTCAGTGGCATACGATATCTCCAGCTGAGAAGCGGTGAAATGGATCAGGGGGGTCAGCGACCGTCTGGTCCTCCCGTCGGCAGCTTCCTGAGAAATCCGCCAGTACAATCTCTGAGCAATTCTTCGTTCGCTTCAAAATCGTCTTGTCAAGTTCTCTTCTATCTTCCCTCACAATCACGTCGGGGTCACCATATGTCACGGGTCGAGGTGGGATAGTGACATGGTTTCACAATACCAACTCTTTATTACAACAGTGTAGCTACTCTTATACAGTTCTAGGTGACACGTGTACACACAGCATTGGTTTACCACTGACATAACAACCCATGATTGGACACACAGCCACATGTCTGAACACAATAGGTCAGCATTCCTGGCAGGAAACCCATTCTGTGTTACGGTCCTTACTGTCCATGGCTGACCCTCTACCAGGTGTAGAAGTTCCATTTTCGGTATCTCAGCTTACAGAGAGCCCAGAACCAGTTGGGCTCCCCCACAGGGAAGAGGGGAGAAAGAAAAGTTAAAACAAACTCGCTAAGAAAAAGGCAGTTTATATTTACATGGAGAAGGGAAAAGCTAAAAAACTAAAACTAATGCACTACAAATACTGCAAAAAGAACCAACAGTAAAATGTACTTCCCCACATGAAGAGGAGCGTCCCCTCCTCTGAGACAACAGTTGTCTGTTCAGCTAGCTGTCCTGGAAGAGGGGAACTTCCTCCTCTTCTCTCTCTTTTATATCTGAGCTGCCCTAACATGGTCAGTAGGAGCCAGGTGACCTGCTTCCATGACTGGGAAGAGAAAATTTGGTTTGACGAAACAAACCCACTACGAGCAGGCTGGAGTCACCTCTGATTGGAGCCCCTGTTACTGTGTGTGCCTTAACAGATCTTTAGGACCCCAGAGACCCAAGGTCTTGGTGTAGATCTGGATCCCCCCATTCTCACACAGGATCTTCTCAGCTCTGGAATCTCTTCCTCAGCTCCAGGCTTTCCTCAGTTCGGTGTTTTCGGCACAGCCAGGGCCGTTCCCCACTGGCAGTGACCTCCAGCACCAACATCACCGATCCTTGATGACTTCCCAGAAATCAGAACCTGACATTTCCCTCAGACACTTCCCAAGCCCCGCCCCTTCCTTCCCATTTCTGGACTTCGGGGTGCAAATAGACCCCTAAACCATCGGGATTTGGTACATCCTTAAAGATGGATAATTCTGGAATGTGCCCGGGAATATCCGTGGCGGGGACTGGCACAGGTACCTGGGGTGCAATACCTGCTGCCACCTGCGGGAGGTGCCCTGGGCAATGAAGGGGCATGGAACTGGTTCATTTGGTTTAACTGGTTTAATTCTACAAATGAACTGGTTTAATTTGTTTAGCGGGTTTAATTCTCTAGTGGAACTTCTCTAAGTGGTTTAATTCTCTAATGGAACTGGTTTAACTGGTGTAGATGGTTTAATTCTCCAATGTAACTGCTTTCACTGGTTTGACTGGTTTTATTCTCCAATAAAATGGGACTGGTGTAACTGGTTTATCCAGTGTGACATCCCAGGAAACCTGTACCTTGGAATGGGGACAAACGACTCAAACAATGCACTGTTTGCAAAACCCCCAGTGGGGAATGGAGAAGTGGAGTCCTGCTGCTCTTGGGGTCGAGTGATGCTGGGACCAACTGGACTCATTGATCCCAAAATTTGAGAGGGAAGATATGGCAGAGCTGGGAAAATCACCAGCCAAAAGAAGAAACAAGTGACACCACTGAGAACTTCTCCAAAGCTGCTGAGCTGGCACAGCCCGACACACCTGACTGACAGACTTGCACTTTGTACTATAAAAGCCCAAATTTTAATGGAAGGATCTTCTGAATTATCCCTTCTTGGAGTGTGGAGATTCCTCCTCAGGAGGCCCCTCAAGGTCACTCCTGTAGCCACAGTTGTTGTTCTGGGTGAGTCACATCCAGCTCTGCCTGGTTTTGCCATTTTACTGTAATTGCTCCAATATTGCTTCCCAGTGCTCCGTACTCTACTGCAGTTGTAGCTCCTACAAGGTGCAGTAAATAATTCTGATTAAGATCCTTTTGTCTGATCCTTATCAGAATAAACCCTGTATATTTATATAAATGTATTTGCTTTACCATCCTTAATTCCATGGGATAAAGTTGCATGAAACCTCTCTGGGCTCCCTGCACACCCAGTCTCCCCCAGTCAGACCAGTTTCTCCCCTGGCCCCAGTGCCCCAGTGAGGGCCCTGAGTCCTTTGTGAGGTCAAGGATCCTCCCCATTCCCCACATTCCCACCCATCCTTGCCCTTTCCCACTTAATTTTGCCCATTCCAGTCGCTTCCTGCCCTCCAGGACACCCCTTGAAGGTCCCACTGGGATCTGGGAGAATGGGGGCCCAGGAGATGAGATTAAGGGGATTGGAGTCCTGGGATGCAGGTGCCAAGAAGGGGGTCCTAGGGAATGGGATTACCATGGGAATGAGGTCCTAGGGAATGGGGTTACCATGGGAATGGGGTTACCATGGGAATGGGGTTACCATGGGAATGGGGTCTTAGGGAATGGGATTACTATGGGAATGAGGTTACCATGGGAATGGGGGTCCTAGGGATGGGGAACAGTTGGGTGGGCACATGGATCACAGCTCCTTCCCTGTGGCCTCAGATTTTGGGCTGACCAGGGTCCTGTGCAGCCTCCCAGGGGGATCCTGGAGGCTCTGGGAGGCTCCAAGACTGTTCCCTCCCCCACCCTGCCCTGGAGCTTTTTCTTCTCTTTATTTTTCTTTTTCCATATTTTGGCTCATATTCTTATGTTTGGGTGTTTTGGAGGTCTTTGGCCTCATTTTTGGGGCCCTTGGGCTGATTTATGCCATCTTTGGGCCCATTTTTTGGATACTTTAGGCTGATTTTGGGGCGCTTTGGGCTCATTTGTGGGTGTTTCTGTTCAATTTCGGGGTGTTTGGGTGAATTGTGGGTATCTTTTGGCCCATCTTGGGGACTAAGTGCTCATTTTAGGGTTCTTTGGGCTGATTAGAGGGGTATTTTGGATCATTTTTGGGGTCTTTGGACAGATTTGGGGGGTGTTTCAGCTCAATTAGGGACTGATTGGGCTGATTTGGGGGACTTTGGGTTCACTTTTGGGGTGTTTGGGATGATTTTTTGGGTCTTTTATCTCATTTTCCAGGTCTTCAAATTGATTTTGGGGGTCTTTTGGCTCATTTTTGCCTCATTTTTGAGATGTTTGGGCTGAGTTTTGGGGTCTTTGGGGTCATTTCTTGGGTCTTTGGCTGTTCTTGTGATCTTTGAGCTGATTTTTGGGGTCCCAGAGACTCTGCCACTTTTGAGAAGAAAACAAAGATTATTCCTAAAAATGCCATCTTTTTAATTCACCACTGGGAAAAAAAGAGGAGTTCCAGGGATTTTCCTCCAAAACTCCTATTTCCAAGCCCTGTTTTGGGGCTCCAGCACAATTCTGGGACTCAAATTTAAAAACAACCCCTGGAAAGTGAAGTGAGAAGTCCCAAAAATGCAGACAAATCACCCACGAAATCCCACTTCCCTTTATATTTCTTACATTTTTTGACGTTTTTCCTGTTGGGGGGGGACTTTCCAGGGCTCAAATATCCCAGAAAACACCTCAAAAGGACTGAAAACAAGCAAAGAGAAGGGATTTGCATGGAATCGGGATCAGAGGTGAGGGGGGACCCCATAATATGGAGCTGGGAACCCCAAAATGTTGATTTTGGGAGGTGAGACCCTGAGATTTGCAGTAGGGGAGGGGGGAACCCAAAATGTGGATCTGGGAATTCAGCGGCCTCAAAATGAGGAGTTTGGGAGGGGGGACCCCAAAATTTGGAGCTGAGGAACCCCAAAATATATATTTGGGAAGAGAGGAATCCCATAATGTCGATTTTGAGAAGGGGGATCCCAAAATTTAGAGGGAGAGACCCCAAAATGTGCATTTTTGGGAACAAGGGAACCCCATATTTTAGTGTTTGGGAACAGGGGAACCCAAAACATGGAATTTGGGAATTAGAGACCCCAACATTTGGAGTTTGAGGGAGGACCACAAAATATGGAGTCTGGGAGCCCCAAAATTTGGATTTGGGAAGGGAATACAAAATTTGGAGGAAGAGAACCCCAAAATGTGGAGTTTGGAAAAGGGGGAATGTCAAAATATGGACCTGGGAATTGGGGAACTCAAAATGTGGATTTGGGAAATAAGAACCACCAAGATTTGGATTTTGGGAAGAGAGATCCCAAAATTTAGAGATGGGGAGTCCCAAGATGGGTTTTGAGGAAGAGGGATACCAAATTTTTGAGGGGTGGATCCCAAAATTTGGAGGGAGAGACTCCAAAATGTGACATTTGGGAATGGGGGCCCCAAAATGTGGGGTTTGAGGAGTCATGACCCCAGGGCTGCTGAAATTGTTGTGATTTTTGTTTGAATTTCCAGATTTTTCCACAGGCTCCAGCAGATCTGATATGATGTCACTGCTCCAGGTATGGCTGGGCTCAGGATTTGGGGATATTTTTGAAATTTTGAAGCATTTCAGGGTGAAAAGGAAGGGATTTTTTACTCCCAGCGTCAGAAAATTTTAATTCTTAAAAAAAATTTCAAAATTAAATGAAATTAATTGAATTAAATCCAAAATCAAGGAATTTGGGGGATTTCAGCCTAAAAAATCTGGGAAAAGGGGAATTTGGGATGTGGTAATTGGGATGGGAGGAGGTGATGCCTCCCATGGTCCCCCCTCCAGATCTTCCTCCTCTTACTTGGCCTTGGAATTCTGGGAATTCTGGGAAATCCAGCAGTGGAAGTGCCAGGAAGGAGCCTCCTGGACGCCCTCAGTGAGTCTTGGACCCTCTCAATCCCTTCCAGTCCCTCCCAGTTCCCTCCCTCCCAGTACATCCCAATGCCTCCCAGTTCCCCCCAGTCACTCCCAGTTCCCCCCAATCCCCTCCCATTATATCCCAGTTCCCTCTCAATATATCCCAGTCCCAACCCTGTCTATCCCAGTGCCCCCCAGTCCTCTCCCAGTGACTCCATTTCCCCTTCCAATAAATCCCATTTCATGCCCAGCCCCTCCCAATTCCCTCCCAGTGACACCAGTTCCCCCCAGTACATCCCAGTTCCCTCACAGTGTATTCCAGTTCCTCACAGTGCCCCCCAGTCCCCTCCCAGTGACCTCTGTCCTCTCCCAGTAGCCCAGTCACCAACCTTTGACCCTAATCCCAACCCAACCCCACCTATTCCAGAACATCCCTCCAGCCTGGGACAGAATTCCCGCTTTTTCCCAAAACCTCCTCCCCTTTTTCCAACCCCCCCCCCCATCACCTCCTCAGCCATTCCCACCTGGAAGCGAGACCAGGACCCCCCTTCCCACCTGCGCTGGGAGCCCTTCCGAGGCCGCCTGCCCCCCGACGCCGTGTCCAGCCGGAACCGCCGGACAGGCCGCCCAGAGTTCGTGTGTTCCACGACGCAGCACGGCTGCAATTCCGGCTCCTACGACCCCCTCAGGGGCCCCTACTGCTACTTCCCGAGGCGGGGATGGGAGGAGCGAACCCCCAGCTTCAACATCTTGGTCAACGCCGGCGGCTTCGAGGCCTTGGACTGGGTGGACGATTCCTTCGGCACCGTCCCGGAAAACGCCGTGGAGAGCTGCCCGTCGGTCGACGTCTTCGTGGGGCGGAGCCCGGACGGGCTGGGAAAGGTGTCCAAGGAGCACCGGGCGCTTTTCGTGGCGCTGGGAGGGGAGGAGGTTTGGTACAAGTGGTACCAAGTCCTGGTGGTCAAGACAGGCCCGTCCGACGTGTCCATCGTGGACGTCGCCTACAACCTGAGCGCGGCCCTGGAGCTCTCCGAGGACGTGGCCTTGGCCGAGGCTCCGGTGCGGAACGGAGGGTGCCGGGCAGCCCCGGCCTCCGCCCGCTTGGAAGAGGCCTCGGAGACGGAGCACTCGTGGCGCTCGGATCACCCCGCGCTGGCCTCGGTGCGGGGGGTGCTCTGGGCGGCCCCGCTGGTGCCCACCGGGACGGGCTGGGCCGTGGGCGATGTCACCTCCCTGCCGTGGGTTGGGGGGGCCAGCTCGGCCCGGTTCGTGCCCCACGGGCCCCACGAGGTGCGGGAGGAGGTGCCGGCGCACTCGGAATGCACCGCGGTGCTCCGGGGGCGCCGGCGGGACCTCCGGGTGCCGTTCACAGCCCGGCTGCACCGGGAATTCCGGGATGGATTCCAGCACAGCGTGGGGGTCGCTGGGTGGGCACAAACTCGGGTGGTCAGCGGGGTCAGCGCGGGGATTGAGCAGTGCCGGGAACTCGCCGGGGTCCCGCCGTGTCCAGCGTAGGGAGGGACCTATGCAGGCTGGATCCCAAAATTCCTCCCCAAAGATTTTTCCTGGTGTTTTTCCCCTAAATAATCCCGCACAATGCAACGGCAGCAACTTGGAATGCAGGGCAAGGCTTGGATTTGGTGGGTTTTCCCATATTTTGCTTTTTGTGACATGACCTTTATCCCTTTCTGGAAAACTTGCAAAAACGTGGCATTTTCTGACTGAATTTCCTGTTTTCCCCAAAAATTTGGGGGTATGGGGGGACCCTGGGACAGTGCAGGACGAGGGGTGGAGAGGGATTGGGAGTCCTGGAATGTTGGGAGAGGGGTCCCAGAGATCTGAGGGGGCCCAGGGAGCTTGGGGGGAACACAGGGATTTGGGAATACCCCGAATTTTGGATATGGGGGGGGGGAAGAAAAGATTTGGGGAGACCCCAAATTGCCTGAAGGAAGGGGGTGTCCCCAGAGAGCTGAGGGGGTCCAGGGGGCTGGAACCATCCAGACCCCCCTCTGGGTGCTGTTTGCAGTGGGAATTCCACACCGGCTCCAGGCACAGGGAGGGGGTTGGCTCCCTCAGACCTGCCCCTGCAGGGGGAGGGGTTCCCGACCCCCCTGCCATGAAAACCTGCAGGGAACCGAGATTGTCTGACCCTGGGAGCAACTTGGAAGGGGAACTTGGCAAGATAAATGTGGAGGTGGTGAGATGTGTCCTTGTGTGGGGGAAACTGCTTGGGAGTATTCTTCTCACGGGCAGTGAACACTTAAATAAAAAGTAAATACAGGGAAAAGTTACCAACAGGCATTTACTGCTGATGTAACAGGGTGTATAAACCGTGAGAGAACTGTAAGAAATGATTCCATCATTCCACACTCCTCGGGGTCCATGCCTGAGTGCGACACAAAAAACCATCAACGGGCCTCACAGAACCCCTGCTTGGGGTCGAATTGTTTTTTCTGCTCCTTGCAGGGCTCAGCTGACCACAAACAGGCCTTTTTCCCCCCCCAGGCAGGAAATGGTTTTGCAGCAGCTTCAAAGCTGTGAGAATCAAAGCCCAAGGGGTGGGTGGGACCCTCAGGTGCTACCTCATCTGGGCTGGACAGAGCAGGGACTGCAGATCCCCACGGCACTGGGGGTGGGGCTGGGGGATGGATTGGCCCCAAAGGTTGATGGCACTGCCTTCCAGGATTAGTGGGTTTGGAGCTTCTTCCTGCTGGGAGGTCCATTCCCAAACTGCCCTTTCCATGTTGGATCATCCAGGGGGGAGCAACAACGGAGAAGTCTGGGACATGTTTTCTCCAAAAAAACAATAAACCCAAAGCGTCTCAACCCCCCCAGTACAGAAACCCCCTGGCAAGGGGTGTGGGGAAAGGAACAGGACAGAGAGGGGAGCCCCCCAGCAGCCTCAGTCCCTCCACAGCAGCAATTTGAGGCCAAAACAGCCCTTTCCAGGAGGAAAAACCTTTTCCTTGGTGGTTTTTTTTCACTTATTTTCCTGATTTCTGCCTCCCCTGCCCCAAGTTCCCATCTTGGTGAGCACAGGGGGCACCTGAGCAGGTAACAGGCTGGGGGGACCCCGGGGGGGGGAAGGGGGTGCTGTGGGAGGTGGGGGTGTTCAGTTGTGCCCCCCCCAGCACTTTCACTTTCTCTTTCCTGGAGCAGAAGAAGAGTCGGTTTAGGCTGTGAGTCAGACGGGGTGGGGGGTGGGCAGGGTGGGTTTTGTCCTGGGCAACAGCAGTTCTGGGGGGGTCCCAGGACACGTGCTAGGGTGGGCTCCTGTCCCAGAAGTGACACATCCAGGAAACTCCTGCCCACCCCCCTGTCCACAGTGGGGCACTGTGACCTCTGGGATGCCCCAAGTTGGGGTCCCCCATCCCCTCTGGGAGCCCCCTCGGGTGCCCCCCATGCCCCCCAAGTCTGCAGCTCCCCAGGACCCTCCCTTGGGTGAGAAGCCCCCATAGGATGGGGTAAAAGTGAGGGGGTGACAGAGGGTGGTTGTCAGGTGGGGGGGCACAGATCCCCCCATAAGCTCCCCAACCCTCCATAACCCACTCCCACCACCCCCCGTGCTCCCCTCTGTCTGCAACACCCCCTGCCCCTCCACACACCTCTAATTGCCCCCAGACTGTGGAAAACTGCAGCTTTTTCCCTCTGGAAATGGCTGATTTGGCCCCAAATTGCTGCCATGGAGATCCCAAATTGCTGCCAGGGAGATGGGACCCCCCCCAAATCTGCGGGGGGTGAAACTCTTGGAGCGCTGGCCCCTCCCTCTTCCTGCCCCCCCGTCCTGTCTTCCCACTCCCCCCTCCCCCAGTGAAGCTTCTGGGCTGGGGGGTGAGAGCTGAACAAATAAACAAATAAACACCTTTTCTCCCAGTTGAATCAAAAAGCTGCATTTGTGGCCCAGAGGCAGGGAAAGGGGCCCTGTGCACCCCTGACCCAGGAAGGGGGAGGGGGGATACAGTGGGAGCACTGGGAAGGGGAATGTGAGGCCACTGGGAGCACTGGGGGTACTGGGCAGGGGGGACAGGAAGCCCCTGGGGGTACTGGGAGCGGTGAGTGGGGGTGTAGGAGGAGCAATGGAGAGGAACTGGGAAAGGGAATAAAGTGACCCTGGAGGTACTGGGAGCACTGGGAGGGAGAATGGGGAGCACTGGGAGGGAGAATGGGGAGCACTGGGAGGGAGAATGGGGAGCACTGGGTGCAACGTGCAGCCCCACAACACAACCCCCCCTACTCGAGACCACCCCCCACGGGCACGGGGTGACCCCCAGGATCCAGCAGGGGACACAGGGGACATGGGTGCCCATGGGCAGGGAACTCCAGTGCCGCCCCGTGCCCCCCAGTGCCCCCCAGTGCCCCCAGTGCCCCCCAGTGTCACGGCAGGTTCTCGTAGATGTTGTTTGGGACCCGCCGGGTCCTGTGGGGTCTTGGTCGCTTCGCGTAGATGACCCGGGGGTCCCGGGGGGAGGAGGTGCAGGAGGACCCTCGGGGACACCCTGTGAGAGACACCCAGTGGGGGGATCCAGGTGGGGGTGACACCCCTGGGTGGCCTGTCCGTGTCCCACCCCCGTACTCACCCCCAGCCCGCTCGGGGGCCGTGACGTGGGGGTGCAGCCCCTCCCCCTCCTCTGGGGCCCTGCGGGGACATGGAGGAGTCTGGGGGTGTTTCTGAGGGGGGTGGAAATGGGGGCCATGGCTGGAGCCCCCCACTCACCTGTCCTGGGACTTCCTGGTGGCTGCAAGGGAAAGGAAGGGGGGATGACTGTGGATCCACGGGACCCCTGAGCCCCCCCAGGACGATCGACCCTCCCACAGGACCCCTGATCCACAGCAGACCCCCGAGTACCCCAGGGCCCCCTGGCCCCCCTGAACCACCCCAGAACGCCAAACCACCCTGGGAACAATGAGCCACCTGAGCCCAGAACCCCAAGCCTGGCAGGCAAGGAGACCTCCAACCTCCCCCAGGATCCCTGAAGACCCTCCAACACCCCTCCCAGACCTCCCCAAACCCCCCAGAAGCTCCCAGTAGCCCCCCAGTATTCCTAAAGACACACCCTAGGACACCCCAGGAGCCCCCCACAAGACCATCCAAAATCCCCCCAAGCCTCCAGGACCCCAAGTGAAGGTCCCCAGGGGCTCAACCCCACCCCAAGTCAGGCTCTGTGGGTGCTGCACCATCACCCTCCCAAACTGGGGGCCCTCCCAGCTCTCCCCTTGATCCCCATCCCCCGCATTGTCACCGACCCGTGCGGTGCCACCAGCGCCAGCCCCCGATGGCACCCAGGAGCAGGAGCAGGAACAGGAGCGACCCTCCAACCCCTGCAGCCACTGCTGGGGACAGAGGGGGACACGCTGGGGTCACCTGCCGTGCCAGGGGTCCCACAGCCCCAGGTGACCCAGGATGACCCAACCTGTGCCCCATCCCCGTGGTGTCACTACCAGGGACCGTCCCGCAGCCCGGGAAGGTCCCGGGGGCTGAGCCCACCTGCCCCGAGCAGCGCAGGGTCACGGGGTCTCACCTGTGCCCACCTGCAGGGACGGGGGTCCGGGGGTGATGGTGGCATCGGCCACGGGCACTGCGGGGGGACAGACGGGCCTGAGGCCGGGGGAGGGGCTGGCACCCGGTGTGGGGACAGGGGGGATGGGGGGCTTGGGAAGTTTCTGGGTGGGACGGGGGATGCTCTGGTGGGGTCACCCCCAGCCCGAGGGTCCCGCTCACCCAGCACGGTGACGTGCAGCGGGGGGCTCTCGGCCGCGCTGTCCCCGTCGGTGACCCGGCACTGGTAGTGGTCGCTGTCCTCGTCCCCAGCGTGCAGCTCGAGGCGGGGGCCGGTGCCCAGCGGCACGGCCGAGCCCCCCCGGTGCCAGGAGAAGGACAGGGGACCTGTCCCCGCGGCCACCGCGCAGCTCAGCACCAGGAGGTCACCCAGTGCCACCCGCCCCCCGGGGGGCTGCGCCGACAGGGACACCTCCGAGATTGGGATCCCTGTGGGGGGACAGCAGGGTCATGGGGGACACGGGAGGGCTGGGGGAATCGGGGGGTGATCCCAGTGAGGGAGAGAAGGTCCCAGAAAGGGATGGAATGTTCAGAGATGGGTATAAAGGACCCCAGGCAGGGATGAGGGCACCTGTGGAGGAGGGACACACACCAGGGAGGGATGGGGGACACGGGCAGGGGGCTGGACTTGGAGAGCGGGGTAGGAAATCCCAGGGAGTGATAGGGGATCCAAGAGGAAGACCTCGAAAGGGTTGCGGGGGCCCCAGGGAGGGTTGTGTGGATCACAAACAGGCATGAGGGGGCCGGGGCACCATGAAGGGACCTCAGGCAGGGATGGGGGAATCCGGGAATGTCGCTGTTCCGCCCCCGCCCCCATCCCCGCACTCACTGCGCACCGTGACGCGGAGCCGGGCGCTGCTCTTCCGCACCGCCCCCCCCTCGGAGCGCACCTCGCAGGTGTAATTCCCCGAGTGGGAGACCCCCACGGCGGGCAGGTGGAGCTGGGGGGACCCCTGCGGGCCCCCCACCAGCACCCCGTCCCGGTAGAAGAGGTGCAGGAGGGGGGCTCGGGGCCGCAGGGGGCTGGGGGGGCTGAGGCAGTTGAGATTCAGGGGGGACCCCTCGGTGGGCTCAGGGGGACCCTCCAGCACCGGCACCGGGAAGAGCTCTGAGAAGGAGAGGGGAGGGGGCAGGACGGTGACCCCGAGTCCGCTGGGGAGGGGCTGTGGGGTGTCGGGTTGTGGGACTGTGGGGGTGCACACTCTGCACTGTCACTGGGGAGACAGCGTGACCCCCAGCCCTCTGGGGACGGAGTGTACGGGTGCCGAGGGGTCAGGCTGTGAGGTTATCAGGGTTATCAGGGTGTGGGGGTGCTCACCGTGCACTGTCACTGTCACCGGCGCCGACTCCTTCCACGGTGAAAACCCGGAGCCCACCCAGCCCCCGCAGCGGTAGCGGCCGCCGTGGTGCAGCTGCAGGGGGACAGGGACAGCTCGGACCCCCGCAGGGGCCCTCCCAGCTCCTTCCCCTCGTGGTAAAACCGCACCCCGGTGAGCCGCAAGTCCCACCAGCGCCGGCAACGCAGTGTCACACTGTCCCCTTCCAGCAGCTCCCTCGCCGGGACCTGCAGCACCAGCCAGTCTGGGGGACAGGGGGGTCCTGCTGCACCAGGGGACTCCGGGGCACAGCAGAGTGGACCCCCCTGGCAGCATTGCACCAGGGGAGTCCCATCGAACTGGGATGCACTGGTGTGAACTGGAGTGCACAAGGATACCCCAGCATGCACTGGGATGCACTGGGATGCACTGGGATGCAATGCTGTGTACAGGGGATGCACTGGGATACACTGGGATGTTCCCGTGTCACACGAGGGGTGTGAGGCCACTGACAGAGCTGAGTCCACCCAGAGTCCCCGTGGGGAGGCAGCCATCCCAATCCCCCTCACCATTTAGAAAGACGAGGGAGATGGAGGGGCTGAATCCAGTGCCGGGTCTGTGACACTTGTAGATGCCGCTATCGGTGACAAGGAACCGGTCCTGTTTCTTCTCCCTCAAGAGCAGCCCATTCTTGTACCAGGAGGTGGCCCCGGGGGTCCCCGAGCCCTGGCAGGTCAGGGTCACCCGGTCCCACTGCACTGCCGGGGTCCAGGGGGGCTCCAGCAGGACCTGGGTGGTCTGGGTGCCTGGGGGGGACAGGGGACACCAGCCTGCCAGGGCCACCACGGGGCTGGGGACAGCGGGGCAGGGGACATGCCATCCCCCCGAGGACTCACCAGCGAGGAGCAGGGTCTGGGCTGGAAGGGAGAAGGGAGAGGGGCTGGGTGGGGGTGGCACCCTGGGGGCAGTGGCACTGGGGATGGGCTGTGGGGACTCTCCCTGTGGGGACACCAGTTCTCACGGGAAAATGCATGGGGATGGTCCCCAAGAGGTCAGGACAGGCCGAGGGCCATGTCTGTGTCACAGCCACCCACAAACCACATCCCCGGGGGTTGGGGACATGGCAGTCACCTTGGGCTGAGGCAGGACAGGGGTCACTGTGGACACCCTGGGGACATGGACAGCACGACCACCACAGGCACAGGCACACCATGGCCACCCCATTCCAGCACAGGTCACCTCCACCAGCCCCACAGCACCTGTCCCCATGGCCACATCCCCATGGCCCCGTGCCCATGATCCCATTCCCTTGGCACCTGTCCCCGTGGCCCATCCACATGGTGCTTGTCCCCTTGTTCCTGTCCCTGCATCCCTGTCCCCACAGGTGCCCCAGCCCCGTGGTGCCAGTCACCACATCCCTGTCCCCACATTCTTGTCCCTGTATCCCTGTATCCCACTCCTGCCCCCACATCCCTGTCCCTCCGGTCCTGTCTTCACGGCCACCCCACCACCCCAGTCACACCGGGGGGCCACACCCAGGGACTGACTCTGCTATGCCCCCTCCCCGGGCAGCCCCTGCCCCTGCTCTCTGCCTCTCTGGGTGCCATCCCCGTGGGGCCAGGCCCGTGCCCGGGGCACTCACCCCACAGCAGCAGCGCCACGTTCCCGGCCATCCCGCTGTCCCCAGCCATCCTGGGGGCTGTCACACGCTGCTGGGGACACCTGTGCCCTGCATGGGGCTGTTTGGACAAAGCAGAAGGAAGCGAGGTCACGTCCTTCCCCCACGAGGAGGTGGAACCTGGTGGGGACAGGGCGGGGACACGGTGGGACGTGATGGGGACATGGTAGGAACATGGTGGGGACACAGTGGGGAGACAGTGGGGACATGGGGATCTGAGGAGTGGGCAGCACAGGGGCTATGGGGAGTCAAGGCTGGGTGTCCCCGAGAATGGTGGGGTGCAGGGAATGGGGTCTGAGGGGGGTTCTGAGGGGAATGGGGGTCCCAGGGATGGGGAGCGCCTGGGTGGGCATGGGGGTGGCAGCTCCTTCACGGGTGGCCTTGGATTTTGAGGTGACCCAGGGTCTGGCACAGCCCCTCCCCAGGTGGCCTTGGCCTGGGGGGCACTCCAGGGGTGTCCCAGCAGCTCTGTGGGCTCCAGGGTCTGTGACAGCCCCGGGGGGCTCTGGGGGGCTCCAGTGCCATCCAAGGGGACATCGGTGCCACCTGCGACCCCCCAGACTCTCCACTGTCACTGCCAGGTGTCACACAGAGACTGTGGGTGCCCAGGGTGAGGGGCTGATCTCTCCTGACCCAGGGACCTCCTGCTGCCCCCAAATTCCCCCCAGGGGCCCCGGTGGAGCCCGAGCTCTGCTCCTCTCCAGCCTCATCCTCACGGGCCTCTGCTGCCACCTCAAAGGGACCTGGGGGACCCTGCTGATCCCCTATTTAGGGATCCCCAGGCTCCCACTCCCCACCCTGGGGCTTTTTCCTCTCTTTCTTTCCACTTTTTTCCTTATTTTCCTCATTTTCTCCCCCCTCCCCTGCCCTCAGTTCCTGGCTCAGTGAACATGGGAAGCACCTGAGCAGGGAACGGGTTGGGGGCACTCTGGGAGGGAAAAGGGGGTACAGGGGGAGCAGGAAGGGCTGGGGAGAACTGGGGGGATGGAGGTGTTCAGTTGTGCCCCCCCCCAGCCTGGAGCAGGAGGAGGAGCCTGTTTACACTGTGAGAGGGGCAGGTTCTGTCCAGGGGGGGCACATCCAGGGGGTCCTGTCCCAGGGAGAAGGGGATGCTCTGGAGTTTGGCAAATACTGAGGAGTCCTGTTCCAGGGGGGTCCCCGTTGTGGGGCTGACATGTCCTGGGGGGATCCTGGAGGATGGAGATTGGGGGATTATCCCTGGACACATCCCGGGGGGGTTCCCAGTCCTAGAGGTGGCCCATCATGGGGTCTCCTATGCTGGGGGTCCCTGCCCACCCCTATTTGGCCCAAAATTGCTGCAGTGGGGCCAGGACTACCCAAATCTGGAGGATGTGAAGCTGTTGGGGGGCTACCCTCTCTGTGCTGTTCCCTCCCCCACATCCCCTGCCAGGGGGTTTCTGTACTGGGGGTGTTGAGACCCTCTGGGTTTATGGTTTTTTTGGAGAAAACATGTCCCAGACTTTGTTGTTGCTCCCCCTGGATGATCCAACGTGGAAAGGGCAGTTTGGGAATGGACCTCCCAGCAGGAAGAAGCTCCAAAACCACTAATCCTGGAAGGCAGTGCCATCAACCTTTGGGGCCAATCCATCCCCCAGCCCCACCCCCAGCGCCGTGGGGATCTGCAGTCCCTGCTCTGTCCACCCAGATGAGGCAGCACCTGAGGGTCCCACCCACCCCTTGGGCTTTGATTCTCACAGCTTTGAAGCTGCTGCAAAGCCATTTCCTGCCTGGGTGGGGGGGGGAAAAAGGCCTGTTTGTGGTCAGCTGAGCCCTGCAAGGAGCAGAAAAACAATTGGGACCCCAAGCAGGGGTTCTGCAAAGGCCTTGGAAGGTTTTCCCAGCAGTGGGGTCAGGAACCCCTCCCTGTGCAGGGGCAGCTCAGAGGGAGCCAGTCCGGAAAGGCACCAATGGATCGTTCCTGTCACTGTCCCCAAGGGCCTCAGGGAGCCCCAAAACACTCCAAAGACAACAACAATCTGCTCAATAACCTGGCCTGGGCCCTCCTCCTGCCTGGATCAAACCTGCCCTCGCTTTGGAACCTCCCTCAGGGAATGTTTGGTTCCAGATGAGAGGGAAAAGTGTGGAAATCTGGAGCAGTGGCTCCAACTGTTGATTGGAGGAACAGGGTGGGGACAGAAGGAGAAGGGAGGGCCTGGTGTGGGGGGAATTACCAGCAGCAGGGAGTGTATTTTCCAGGGAATCAGGCAGTGATTCCTGGATTGATCCAGACTGCACTGGAAACTGGGGGAGATCCGGAACACCTGCAATGTATTGATGGGATCACTGGGTGGGGCAACACTGGCACAGATTCCTCTGCAATATCCCAAGGATGGGCAGAGTGGCTCCTCTTTTGGCACTGGGGAGGGTTGCCCTTGGCTGGCTGCCAGGTGCCCACCAAGCCTCTCTATCGCTGCCCTTCCCAGCTGGAAAAGGGAAGGAAGAACAAGGTGGGAAATCACTCCAGGGCTGAGACAAGACCCGTTACAAAAGCAAAAGCAAAAGTTTGGGCAGGCACAAGCAAAGTGAAAATTGCTTTGGTTTCTTCTCTATTGCCACAGGCAGTCACATCTGGGGACTTGCCAGGAAGCACCAGACAGGCAAATACTGTAAATAGTAAAATAAATACTGTAAATAAATACTGCAAACAGCAACTGCTCTGCCTCCTCAGCATTACTGTCTGAGCTGGTGTCACATGGGCTGGAACAGCCCTTTAGTCATCTGGGGCTGGACTGGCTGTGACCCTCTCAGGATCTTGCCCTGGACTGGGGGAGGAGAGTTGAGAGACAGTGCTGATGCTGTGCCAGCCCTGTCAGCAGCGGCCAAAACACTGGTGTGTCACCAACACCCTTCCAGCAGCCAGTGCCGAGAGCAGCACAGCCAGGGCTGCCATGGGGAAATGAGCTCCAGCTCAGCCAGACCCAAGACAGGCTCCATGAGGTCCCCCAGTGTCACAGGGTTGTCCTGGGGTAAGAGAACACAAACTTGAGGTGAGGATAGGTTGAAATGTGCCCTGAGGGGTCCAGTTCCTGGGCACCTCTGCATCCCCACGGGCCAGCACCTCAGCTCTCAGGGGCAGCCCCAGAGATCAGTCCCCTCCTGATCAGACAGAAAGGAAGCCCCAAGCACAGGCCATGGGGGGAACTCTGGTTCTTTCTGCACCATCAGGGGCAGTCTGGAGGAATGGGATGGTGAACCCACCTTTGAGCTGGGGGTGCAGGTACGTGAGTTGAGAGGGAAGAGGTTTGTTAAGGAGGAGTCACTCAAGAGAGCTGTCAGGGTAGGAGGCACAGAGACACAGGAAAGCCATCAGGGATCTCCCAGACATGAACTGGCTGGAATCACCTCCTTTGATCGTGATGAGGGGACTCCTGGTCTGGCATCACAAAGGTCAGGGAGTGAATACTCTGACCAGGAACAGGAATAGAGGGTCCCTGACCTGTCCCTGGGGTGGGAACATCTGCACTATATTGATGGGATCACTGGGTGTGGCAACAAAGCAGGAGAAGGTTTTGAGTAAGGAAACCAAATCATCCGAATCCTGCCTAAAGCTGGTTTTGCCATAAACCAAAAAAGGTAAAGGCACCTGCTGGGAGATCCACTTTTTAGGAGAAAGTGGCAAGATGGACTTTGTCATGTGCACTCTGAAGGGGCCTCCTGGAGATGCTCCCATGGCCAAAAGTCATCCCACTGAAGAACATCAGAACAACGAGCAGGTGGATAAGGCTGCCAAGATTGGAACAGCTCAGGGAGGCTGAGACTGGGAGCAGAAGGGTGAGCTATTTATGGCCTGATGGGCCCATGGAACATCAGGACATGTGGGAAGAGAGGCCACATCCAGATGGGCTCGTGACTGAGGGGTGGACCTGACCATGGAGGCCATCACACAGGTCACTCACAGGTGGGAAACCTGTGCTGCAAGCAAGCAGGGCTGTGAGAGCAAAATCTCCCTGGACACAGGGCAGGGGTTGGGTTTCCACATGGTGAGGCCTGGCCAAGTGACTCCACTGGAGCACAGCCACCAACAAGAGCTGCAGACTCACCATGGTGGAGCCAAGGACTGCTGGGCTGGAAACATCCCCTATAAACCAGACCACTGCTCCAAACTCCAGCTCAGGCCTCGAGAGACACCTTTTGTGGTGCCCCAGAGAGGACTGAATCAGACCATGGGACTCCTTTCCAAAATAACCTTCTAAACTCTTGGGCAAAGAAACCTTGAGGAACACTTTCAAAGTGTCCTTGTTCCACTCCCTGCAGACACAACCAACAAAAGACAGCAGCAGCACAGGAGGAGGCAGGAACTGCTGACCAGAATTCCATCTGCTAGGGGTGAATGAGACGACCCAAGGCCCCAAAGCCTCTGACCCACTGCCAGGGAGGTCTGAAATAACAGGTACCAAGGCCAGGTAGCGCCTCCAGGCCCCTCAATTTGCCTTGCCTTGCCCACCATTTACCAGCCTTGCCTGCTGCCTTTCCCTCAGGGGGATTTGGGATGCCCTCCCCTCACCACGTGCCCAGCAATGACAACCCCATCCTGCCTCGCACCAGCAGCCCCCTCACTCCCCCTGCACTCCACCCTCACACCCCCAGGGCTGGGTTCACTTCTGGGCAAAGAACCAGCACCCCACACCCCACAGTGCAGCCCCAGCCCTGAGCCAGGGGCCTCCAGGGCTCCCCAGGACAACACACTCCCTCCAAACCCTTGGCAGACACAAAACTGGCTGACAGGACTCAGGGGTGCTCGTAGGAAAGAGGTACAAGCTTTTCTTGAATCTTGGGGCTGGTCAGTTTTTCAGTTCTTAGTGTTCAGAGTTATCCATTCAGGGGCAGGATGTCCTCTAGGCCCCTGTTGGGTTCCATCTGGAGTGAGAAATAGTTGTCCTGTGTCAGCAAGAAGGGATTTCAGTTCAGAGAGATCAACCCACTGGATTAGAGTCAGAAGATCTCTGAAGTCTGTGGGATGGGAGTGTGACACCAGTGGTGTGGGAGAAGAGGTGGAGATGGTGTTTGTTGGGTGGGGCTGAGCTGGAGTCCCTTTCCCCACAGCCCCTGGCAGTGCTGGGCTCTGCAGTGGGAGATCCAAGGGGTAGAGAAGGGGCCGTGTTTTGGCTCCTCCTGGGCAGGGCAGGCACAGCATCAGGGCTGTCTCCCAACATTCCCCCCATCCAGGGGCTGGGGGAGGGCAAGATCCTGGGAGAGGGCCCAGCAGGGCCAGCTGAGCCCAAGAATCCCAATGAGCCCCAGGGATATTCCAGCCCCTGTGCTCACACCAGCTCAGACTGCACAGCTGAGGGAAGGAGGAGGAAGGGGGGCAATGGTTATTCCCAGGGATTGCCTCGGGAGCAGCCTCTCCATGTGCTTAAGCCCTGCTTGCTGGGACATTCCACACCATGCTGAGGGGAAGGAGAGAATAAACCTTTGTTTTTTTGGGGGGAAGATGATTTTGGGGCTCCCTGAGCCCCTTGGGGACAGTGACAGGAACGATCCATTGGTGCCTTTCCGGACTGGCTCCCTCTGAGCTGCCCCTGCACAGGGAGGGGTTCCCAACCCCACTGCTGGGAAAACCTTCCAAGGCCTTTGCAGAACCCCTGCTTGGGGTCCAAGTGTTTTTTCTGCTCCTTGCAGGGCTCAGCTGACCACAAACAGGCCTTTTTCTCCCCCCCCAGGCAGGAAATGGCTTTGCAGCAGCTTCAAAGCTGTGAGAATCAAAGCCCAAGGGGCAGGTGGGACCCTCAGGTGCTGCCTCATCTGGGTGGACAGAGCAGGGACTGCAGATCCCCAATCAGCCATTCCAGGGAGGCAAAAGCTCTGTTTATCCATCACAGTCCTGGGGGGAAAAGGGGAGCCAGGGCAGTCACAAATGTTTCATCTGAAGGGTCTCACGGGTCTCTCAGTTCCAGCACTGAGACCCTGCCAGGAAAGAGGGTCCTGGTGGATTTATGGTGGGGTCTGTGCTCCCCTGAACAGACACCCACCCTCTGTCACCCACCCCCCAGCTGTCACCCCTCCCTGGGGGCTTCCCACCCAGGGAAAGGGTCTTGAGGGGGCTGCAGACTGGGTCCTGGGAGACCAACCTGGGGGAGCTCCCACGTGGGGTTGGAGCTCCTGTGCTGGAGAGGCCGTGGGGCAGAAGGGTAGAGGGGAAAGGGGGCACCCCAGGGGTCACAGTGCCCCAACAGGGACAGCACGGGCCCCCAGGGACAGAGGTCCCCAGGTGTGCCACCTCTGGGACAGGACCCTCCCCAAGGTGTCTCCAGTGACCCCCCCAAATCCTCCATTCCCCTGCACAGGATCCCCCTGGCCAGGTCGTGTCACTCCTGGGACAGGATCCCCCCCAGGACGTGTCCGCCCCCAAAACAGGGACCCCCAAGGACAGAACCCAAGGGGCTGTTTCCTCCCCCTCCAAGCAGCCCCTTCCCCCACGACAGGACCCCCGTGGGTGTGCCCCCCAGGACAGAACCCGGCTCCCCACTCCCCTCCCCCCGAGCTGACTCACAGCCTGAACGGCCTCATCCTTCTGGTCCAGGAAAGTCTGGGGGGGGGAGGGGGCACAGTCAGATTCTCCCAACTCCACAGCCCCTCCATCCCTGCCTGCAACCCCCACACCCCCTTTTCTTCACCCTGGGGTCCCCCCACCCCGGTATCTGCTCTGGTGCTTCCCTGCACTCCTCGAGCCAGGAACTGGGTTGGGAGGGCGATGAAGTGAGGAAAAGAATCCAAAACTGTGGTCCCTGGGACCCCCATTCCCCTCAGACCCTCATCCCTGGGAACGCCATTCCTCTGGGACCCTCATCCCAGCTCTGCCCTTCCCCAGGACCTCCATTCCCCACCCATTTTCCACACACCCCATCCCTGGGATGCCCATCCCACAACCCAAATTCCCAGGAGCTGACATTCCCCTGGGCCACCCCTTTCCCTGGCTCCCCCACCCTTGGCTCCCCACATCCCTGGAGCACCCACTCCGGGGACCCCCATGCCCCACCATGTCCCCCATGTCACCAGTGTGTCCCCCCCATGTTCCACCACGTCACCAGCCTGTCCCCGCTGTGTCCCCACCCTGCCCCCACAATGTGCCACCAACATGTGGGGGACGGATGTGACCTCGCTTCCTTTCCCTTCGCCCCAAGAGCCCCTTGCAGGGCACAGGTGTCCCCAGCAGCGTGTGACAGCCCCCAGGATGGCCAGGCACAGCGGGATGGCCGGGAACGTGGCGCTGCTGCTGTGGGGTGAGTGCCCCGGGCACGGGCCTGGCCCCACGGGGATGGCACCCAGAGAGGCAGAGAGCGGGGGCAGGGGCTGCCCGGGGGGAGGGGGCACAGGGGGCTGCAGGGCCAGGGGAGGTGGACCCCCGGTGTGACCAGGGGGATGGTGTGGCTGTGGGGACAGGAATAGGGGGATGGGGATGTGGGGAGTGGCACCACGGGGCTGGGGCAGCTGAGGGGACAAGGACAAGCGACAGGGATGCCGGGACAGGGACGAGGAGACAAGAGCCATGTGGATGGGCCATGGGGACAGGGGCCATGGGAGTGGGATCATGGGCACAGGGCCGGGGGGATGTGGCTGTGGGGACAGGTGCTGTGGGGCTGGTGGAGGTGACCTGTGCCAGCACAGGGTTGTCACAGGGTCACCATCCCTGGGGTGCCACATGGATGTAGAGCATGGGGGCTGTGACACAGACATGTCCCTCGACCTCTCCAGAACTGTTGGGGACCATCCCCGTGCACTTTTCCACCAGAATAGATTTCCCCACAGGAACAGTTTGGGGAAGTCCCCACAGCCCTGTCCCCCGAGTGCCACTGTCCCCATGGTACTACCCCCACCCAGCCACTCTCCCTTCTCCCTTCCAGCCCAGTCCCTGCTCCTCGCTGGTGAGTCCTCGGGGGGATGGCATGTCCCCTGCCCCGCTGTCCCCAGCCCCGTGGTGGCCCTGGCAGGCTGGTGTCCCCTGTCCCCCCCAGGCACCCAGACCACCCAGGTCCTGCTGGAGCCCCCCTGGACCCCAGCAGTGCAGTGGGACCAGGTGACCCTGACCTGCCAGGGCTCGGGGACCCCCGGGGCCACCTCCTGGTACAAGAATGGGCTGCTCTTGAGGGAGAAGAACCAGGACCGGTTCCTTGTCACCAATAGCGGCATCTACAAGTGTCACAGACCCGGCACTGGATTCAGCCCCTCCATCTTCCTCCTCTTTCTAAATGGTGAGGGGGATTGGGATGGGTGCCTCCCCACGGGGACTCTGGGTGGGCTCAGCTCTGTCAGTGGCCTCACACCCCTCGTGTGACACGGGAACATCCCAGTGCATCCCAGTGCATCCTCTGTACACAGCATTGCATCCCAGTGCATCCCAGTGCATCCCAGTGCATCCCAATGCATCCCCTGTACACAGCATTGCATCCCAGTGCATCCCAGTATATCCCAGTGCATCCCAGTGCACGCTGGTGTATCCTTGTGCACTCCAGTTCACACCAGTGCATCCCAGTTCGATGGGACTCCCCTGGTGCAATGCTGCCGGGGGGGTCCACTCTGCTGTGCCCCGGAGTCCCCTGGTGCAGCAGGACCCCCCTGTCCCCCAGACTGGCTGGTGCTGCAGGTCCCGGCGAGGGAGCTGCTGGAAGGGGACAGTGTGACACTGCGCTGCCGGCGCTGGTGGGACCTGTGGCTCACCCATGTGCGGTTTTACCACGAGGGGAAGGAGCTGGGAGGGCCCCTGCGGGGGTCCGAGCTGTCCCTGCCCCCCCTGCAGCTGCACCACGGCGGCCGCTACCGCTGCAGGGGCTGGGTGGGCTCCGGATCCTCAGGCTGGGAGGAGTCGGCACCGGTGACAGTGACGGTGCACGGTGAGCACCCCCACACCCACACCCTGAGACCCCGACACTGCCACACCCCCACAGCCCCTCCACAACGGACTCGGGGTCACCGTCACACTCCCGTCTCCTTCCTAGAGCTCTTCCCGGTGCCGGTGCTGGAGGGTCCCCCTGAGCCCACCGAGGGGTCCCCCCTGAATCTCAGCTGCCTCAGCCCCCCCAGCCCCCTGCGGCCCCGAGCCCCCTCCTGCACCTCTTGTACCGGGACGGGGTGCTGGTGGGGGGCCCGCAGGGGTCTCCCCAGCTCCACCTGCCCGCCGTGGGGGTCTCCCACTCGGGGAATTACACCTGCGAGGTGCGCTCCGAGGGGGGGACGGTGCGGAAGAGCAGCGCCCGGCTCCGCGTCACGGTGCGCAGTGAGTGCAGGGGTGGGGGAACCCTGACATCCTTCCCGGGTCCCCCATCCCTGCCTGGATACCCCCATCCTGCCCTGACATCCCTGCAATGTCCCCTCTTCCTTGTCGGGGTCTCCACACCCCTCCCTGGGTCCCTGCATCCATCTCGAATCCTCCCTCTCTGAATTGCCCATCCCTCCCTCCCTGCAGTCCCCACACCCCTCTCCAGGTCCTTCCCACTCCCGGAGTCCCCTGTCCCTCCCTGGTGTGTGTCCCCCCTCTCCGTCCGTTCCATCCCTCTCCAGGTGTCCCACCCCTCTCTGTGCCTCCTTCTCCCTCCCTGCGTTCCCCTCCTGTCCCGTGTCCCCCATCCCCCTGCTCTCCCCCCACAGGGATCCCAATCTCGGGGGTGTCCCTGTCGGCGCAGCCCCCCGGGGGGCGGGTGGCACTGGGGGACCTCCTGGTGCTGAGCTGCGCGGTGGCCGCGGGGACAGGTCCCCTGTCCTTCTCCTGGCACCGGGGGCGCTCGGCCGTGCCGCTGGGCACCGGCCCCCGCCTCGAGCTGCACGTTGGGGACGAGGACAGCGACCACTACCAGTGCCGGGTCACCGACGGGGACAGCGCGGCCGAGAGCCCCCCGCTGCACGTCACCGTGCTGGGTGAGCGGGACCCTCGGGCTGGGGGTGACCCCACCAGAGCATCCCCCGTCCCACCCAGAAACTTCCAAAGCCCCCCATCCCCCCTGTCCCCACACCGGGTGCCAGCCCCTCCCCCGGCCTCAGGCCCGTCTGTCCCCCCGCAGTGCCCGTGGCCGATGCCACCATCACCCCCGGACCCCCGTCCCTGCAGGTGGGCACAGGTGAGACCCCGTGACCCTGCGCTGCTCGGGGCAGGTGGGCTCAGCCCCCTGGACCTTCCCTGGCTGCGGGACGGGCGGGAGGTGGCCCGGGGTCCCCTCCTGGAGCTCGGGGACGTCGAGCCGGGACATTCCGGCCCCTGCCAGGGCGTGGCCACCAAAGCAGCTGGACGGCATCGCCTGCTCCGGGCACTCAGCCCGGCACTGATGGGGACACCACGGGGGTGGGGCGCGGGTGGGGTCACTCAGGGTCACCTGTGTGACCCCAGCGTGTCCCTCCCCATCCCCAGCAGTGGCCACAGGGCTCGGCGGGTCCCTCCTGTTTCTGGTTCTGCTCCTGGGGGCCATCGGGGGCTGGCACCGGTGGCGCCGCTTGGGTGGGTGACAAGTAGGGGGCTGAGGGGGGTCCTGGGGCAGAGAAAAGTCCCCCAGTTTGCAAGGGCAATGTGGTCCCACCCACAGACCTTGACTCGGGGTGGCTGAGCCCCCACTTACCTTGGCTTGGGGTCCTGGGGGGCTTGGTGGGATTTTGGAGGGTCTTGGGGGGGCTCGTGGGAAGCTCTGGAAGAGACTGGGAATATTGAGGGGGTACTGGGAGTTCCTGGGGGGTTCAGAGAGGTCTTAAAGGCTTTTGGAGAGATGTTGGGTGGTCTCCAAGGATCCTTGTGGAATTTGGGGCCTCCCTCTCCCTGCTGGGCTTGGGGTTCTCGGGTCTCAGGGGGCTTGGGATTTGCAGGGGTTGGAGGGTACTGGGGTGGTTTAGGGTTACTGTGTGGGTTTGAGGGTTCTTGGGAGTCCTGGGGGGAATTTGGGGTCCAGTGAGGCTTCCAAGGTTTTGTCAGGGGTCTCAGGGAGTTCAGGGGTCCTGGGGAACACACGATCACCCCCCCACCTTTTCCTTGCAGCTACCAGGAGGCTCCAGGACAGGTGAGCGATGGTGTCCTCCCATGGCTCCCCTTTCACCTGTCCCCAGACATCCCCCCAGATGCTCCCTCATCCCTGCAGGGTCTCTGTGGAGCCCCCGGGCCCTCCCGAGGAGGGGGAGGTGCTGTACACCCCCGTCACGATCAGCGAGCGAGTGCTGGGTGAGTGCGGGGAGGGGACAGGGACAGGGACAGGGACAGGGACAGGGACAGGGACAGGGACACGTCACCCCCACCAGGGTTCCCTCACCCCCTGTTTCTCGTAGGGACCCCCAGGGGGTCCTCCCGTGCTGCCTCCCCCTGCGACCCCCAGGTGACCTACGCAGAGCTGCGGGGACCCCACCCACGGCTGCGGGAACCCAAGGACATCTGCGAGGCTGTGGCGTGACACTGGGGGCACTGGGAACACTGGGGACACTGGGGGCATGGGGGGCAGTGGGGGAACTGGGGGAACTGGGAGCACTGGGAGGCACTGGGAGCACTGGGGGGACACTGGGGGCACTGGGGGCACTGGGAGCACGGGGGGACACCAGGGATCTCCTCCCTGGGGCACTCCCATGTGTGTTCCTCCCCCACAGCTCCTGCCCTGCCCAGGGAGGTGCTCACGAGGGAGGGGGGTCTTGCCTGGGGCTGCACAGGGCAATTCTCCCAGTTTCCAAGCCCAGAGCTCCCAGTACCCCCAGGGGCTCCCTATTCACCCACCTCGTGTTCCCCACTCTCCCTCACAGTGTTCCCAGTCCCCCCACATTCCCCTTATCCTCCCTCCCAGTGCCTCTCCATTGCTCACAGTACACCTAGTGGGTCCCCATTCCCCTTCCCAGTGCTCCCAGTATTCCCAGTGTTCCCCATTACCCTCCCCAGAACCCCCACATCTCGCAGTGACTTCCCATTTCCTCCCAGCACTCCCAGCACTCCCAGTACACCCAGTACACCCAGTACTGGCAGCCAGTACCCAGACCAGTGGGAGGGTGTAAGATAAAACACGAGGACACCAGCACTGCTGGGACCCCCCCATCTGCCCCACCAGCTGTTGGCTCCAATGGACCACACCTGGAATGTTTCTGCACCAGGGCAGCCCCAACCAAGAGGAGCTGGAAGCTTCAGCCCAGTCCCAGGGATTTGACATCCCTGCCACGAGTGAACCGTGCTGGGCCCAGCCCTGGCACTGGAACGCTCTGCTGAACAGTTCCAGGCCCTGCAGGGGGGATGGGCAGGGAAGAAGAGGCAGAGGGGTGGCCCTGCGTGTAATGGAGGGGTTGGAATGTCTGGAGCTCACAGTTGGGACCCTCTGGGTGAGGATCAAGGGGCAAACAAACAATGCTGATGTCACCGTGGGAGCCTGGAATTGACCTCCCAGCCTGGACAGCGCTGACACTGATGAGTTATTCTTTGAGGAGCTAAGGACACTTCCAAGTCAGCGGCCCCTGTCCTTGGGGGGACTTCAACCTGCCAGAAATTACCTGGGAGCATCACACAGCTGGTACAGAAGATTCCTAAAAAACCTGAAAGACAACTTTATGGGACAGGTCCTAAGGGAGCCGACTCAGATCAGTGCCCTCCTTGATCTGCTGCTTGTCCACAGAGAGGATCTTGGGAGCAAAGTGGAGACTGGGGCCGTCTTGGCCTCAGTGACCATGCAGGGATCTGCTGACAGGAGGGGAAGTGCCACCAAACCTCCCCTCTGGCCATGAGGAGAGCAGACCTCAGGCTGCTCAGGGAACCGGTAAGGAAGGTCCCCTGGGAAGATGCTCCTGCCCGTGCTGGAGTCCATCAGTGCTGGCCACTTTTCAGACATCACCTCCTGAGGCACAGGAGCAGCAACTGCCAAATGTCAGAGGCCGAGCAGGCGAGGCAGAAGGCAGCTTGGCTGAGCAGGGATCTCCTCGTGAATATAAGGCAAAAAAGGGAGGTGTGTGCCCAGTGGGAGCAACATCAGGTGACAGGGTGTTCTAATTGTAGAAGGTCTTTTGTTTCGTTTGTATTTTATTCTCTTTTTTCCCACATTGTTCTTGGAGGGACTGCCTCTGAAAGGATGAATTCTCCCCTCCCCCTGCCATTCCCTGGAGTGGGGAGAGGAAGAGAAAAAAAACAAAGGGTGGAAAGTGAACTCCGCACTTTCTGGGGCCACGTTTTTGCTGCTGCCTGTGGAGCCCACGGGGGAGCTGCTTTTTCTTCCACCTGATGCTCAGGAGCCGCCTGGAACCGCCCAGCACAGCTCGGCCCTGCTGCCCCCGCCAGGAGCTGCTCCTGGGGACGGGATGGAAACATCCCCCACCTCCGGCACAGCCAGAGAGCGAACACAAGTTAAACCGAGCCTGCCCACGGGGCACCGATCGCTGTCCCTGCCCCGCCTGCCTCCTGGAGCCGGCACGGACGGAGCAAAGCCCAGCCCAGGGCGTGGGGGAAAGCCCTCGGGGCACCGTGAATTCCCCTCTTTTTGTGGGTGAGCCCTTTCCTTTGTGTCTTTGTGGCGCTGCCGTTTTCCTTGTCAGTAAACTGATATTTTTTTCCCTTGTACCTCTTTGCATTTTGGTCTCTCTACATTAGGGTGGGGAAAAAAAGGGGAAGGGGTTCATTTTATTGGAGTTTCCACCCCAATATTTGTCTTTAAGCCAAGACACCCGTGGACAGATCAGAGAGCTGGGCAATCACCAACCATGGGAAGTTCAACAGGGGGAAGGGCTAGATCCTGCCCTGGGATGGAGCAATCCCGGATGGACACCCTGGGAATGAGAGGCTGGGAAGCAGTGCTGGGAAAGGGCCCTGGGGGTGCTGGTGGGTGCCAGTTGTCCCTGAGTCAGCAGTGCCCTGGCAGCCAGGAGGGCCAAGCCTGTGCTGGGGGCATCAGGGAGGGGATTGTCCCGCTCTGCTCTGCCCTGGGGCGGCCTCACCTGCAAGATTGGGGCAGTTTGGGGGGACACAATGGAAGGGAGAGATTGAGCCATTGGAGAGTGTCCAAAGGAGGGTAAAGAGATGGGGAAGGGCCTGGATTTGAAGGCGTGTGAGGACACTGAGGGCACTTGGTGTGTTCAGCTGGAGAAGAGGAGACTGAGGAGAGACCTCACTGCAGTTCCAACTGCCTGGGCAGGGGCAGAGGAGGGGCAGGACTGAGGGTGCTGATTGATGGGAGGCTGAACATGAGCCAGAGTGTGCCCAGGGGGCCAAGAAGGCCAATGGGTCCTGGCCTGGATCAGGAACAGTGTGGCAGCAGGAGCAGGGAAATGATCCTTCCCCTGTACTCAGTGCTGGTGAGGCCACTCCTGGAGTGCTGTGTCCAGCTCTGGGCCCCTCAGGTCATGAAGGACATTGAGGTGCTGGAACAGGTCCAGAGAAGAGCAGCGAGGCTGGGGAAGGGACTTGAGCACAAGTGCTGTGAGGAGAGGCTGAGGGAGCTGGGGTTGTTTAGTCTGGAGAAGAGGAGGCTCAGGGTTGACCTCATCACTCTCTACAACTACCTGAGAGGAGGTTGTAGCCAGGTGGGGGTCGGTCTCTTCTCCCAGGCAATCAGCAGCAGGACAAGAGGGCACGGGCTTAAGCTCTGCCAGGGGAGCTTTAGGTTGGATATTAGAAAGAAGTTCTTTCCAAAGAGAGTGATCAGACACTGGAATGGCCTGCCCAGAGAGGTGGTGGATTCACCTTCCCTGAAGGTTTTTAAGACGAGGCTGGATGTGGCACTGAGTGCCATGATCTGGGAATCACAGTGGGGTTGGATCAAGGGTTGGACTTGATGATCTCAGAGGGCTTTTCCAACCTTGGGAATCCTGGGATTCTGTGAAAGGCCTTTATTGATGCTGAAGCTCAACTGACACCACACCTGAGTCACAAGCCCTGCTGCTTCCCAGCCTGGGGGCTTCTCTGCACCCCAAAACTGGCCTTGATCCACGTGAGAAGTGGATTTGCAAAGCCTCTGAACTTCCCCCCCAGAGCCCCAGCAGTGCAGATGGGGATGATTTCACCTCAAATATTGGCAGCAGGGTGGACATTTTGGGGTGGGTGTGCAGGGTGGTCGTGGGGCAGATGGAGGCTTTAAATCTTCCCCATCTCCTGCCACAGGTGAGGAGAGCAGGAAGTGTTTTTGGGAAACCCCCCTTGTGTCCATCATTCCAGTCCTCACCCTCCAAGGCCACTGTGGCTTTTTGGTGTCCTGCACCCTTCACCCAGATCCTGCAGCTGCCAAAACTGCACAGCAGGAATTCTCCTGCCTGAGAGGAGAGAACAGTCCAGGTGCTGCTGGGAATGAGGGGTGGGGAGGTTCTTCTGGCCTTTTCCCACACCAATTCCTGCTGGAGGGGCCGGGTGGGAGGGCAGTGGCTGCACTGGCACCCAGGGCTGGGAGGGGCAGGAGCAGCTGTGTGGGTGTGCTGGGAGTTGTGGGGTCGCTGTGCCCCCGACCCCAACGAGCTCTGTGACCCCAGCATGTCCCAGACCCCAACTCTTGGTCTGCAAGAGCTTCATCTTCAGGAAAGGGAGACCAGAGCACAGAGCCCAACAGCTCAGAGAGAGGGATCAGGGCATGAACAGGGGCTGAAATGGAGCAAAGCTGCTTTTTACACCAGCAGGCTGTGGAGACACCCACAAACCCCCACAGGGGAGGCCACAGAGCTGCTCCCAGGGCTGGTTCCACTCTGCTCTGGAGCCAGGCTGGGACAGTTGGGGGGGCTCACCTGGAGAAGAGAAGGCTCCAGGGAGAACTTAGAGTCCCTTCCAGGGCCTAAAGGGGCTCCAGGAGAGCTGGAGAAGGACTGGGGACAAGGGGTGGAGGGACAGGACACAGGGAATGGCTTCCCACTGCCAGAGGGCAGGGACAGATGGGATGTTGGGAAGGAATTCCCCCTGGGATGGTGGGGAGGCCCTGGAATGGGTTGCCCAGAGAAGCTGTGGCTGCCCCTGGATCCCTGGCAGTGCCCAAGGCCAGGCTGGATGGGGCTTGGAGCAATCTGGGATAGTGGAAGGTGAATAAGATGAGCTCCAAGGCCCCTTCCCACCCAAACCAGGCTGTGATTCCACGATTTTGGGGTTGAAGGGTGTGTTGCCCACCCATCTCCGCTCCTGGCATGACCCTCATCCCACCCACACCAGCTGGTGCCTGTCCCCATCCTGCAATAAAAAATACTTAGAATTAAAAATAAATAAAATAATAACAAAAATAATAATAATAATAAGTAATACTATATATAGAATAATAAACAAAGAAACCAAAAGTAAAGGCTGGCACCAAAGAGCCCAGGGATTTGTGGAGAGAGGGGCTGGAGCAGCTTTGGGGGGGGATTTGGGGCACCACGAAGTGCCACTGGGGTGCCACAGCTCTGGCACTGCTGGGCAGCGGAATTATTTTCCAGGAGGAAAGGCAAAACCCCCTCAAAGTCCCTCAAAATTCAGCTTTTTTTT